TGCTGTTGTTGTCGGAAAAAAGCCATTAGAAAAAGGCTGCTTGAGTCTGAAATGGGTTTGGCTGGGGTTAGCATTGTTTTTGTTCGACTAAGTCAACAAGGTCGAGGGTTAATGAAAGTTGGTCGATCGCTTCTCTGACCCTTTTATGTTCTTACACTTCTTTTTGTATCTAAATATATTTTGCTCGACTAGAAGTTACGCTTGAAAAGTTGAGTAAAAACTATTATAAACCAAATTCACTTTATTCTTATTATCTGATCATTGTTAGTCTTATTTCATAATTTGATCATTGCATTGAACTTTTCGCGTTTTTGTTTTTTGGCTGCTTGGTGCTTCTTACGCTCGCTATTCTTTAACAAAATCTCTTGAAACTTTCGTCGCATATCCAAAGAAAGACCCGTATTGCGTAGATCCATATCTTCCAGCATCTTATTACAGTTGATGATCTTTAGCAAGTGCTTGCCAAAATCCTATCAAATAAGACCGTTTAGTCTAGATAAATTATTCCGCAAGTGCTGCACTCACCTGGCCCAGATCATTGTTTGATAGGTCGATGACTAGCAGCGTTTTCTGCTGGCATATCAACATCATGAACAGCTTGGTTATGCTCTCAGTTATGGAACAGCTGGCGAGATCCAGTTCTTTGATGGGCATCGTCTGCAGCGTATGGAAGATGGCTGCGGCACCATCGCTTTGGATGGGATTCAGTCGCAGCACAAGACGCACAAGGGGAACGTGAACCAATGTTCGACTGAGTGTATAGGCGCCTTCCTCCGCTGTTGGGGATAGCATAAGTAAATTATTTTCATATAAAATAAACTATTTACTTATTCTGTTGTTGGTTAGATCGAGGACAGTGAGGGTGGCAAAGGATTCCTTGCCGCACGTTTCGAGAAAACAACGTATGCCCGCATCGCCCACGGCGCAGTGCAGCATGGATAACTCCTTCAGGTGATGGCAGCCCTTGTCAAGGCTGTGTGCCAAGAAACGTAACTGATACGCCAACAACTTCGTATTGTGAAGGCTGAAAAGTTTGGAGTATGGTAATCAAGATGTGTGTGGCCATGTCGTTGAGAATTCTTACCAAAATTTGCGCAGCTCGTGGCACTGGCTAAGTCCCTTGGCCAACAGTAATATGTCACGGGCCGTTATTTGATTACAGCCTATTTGGTAATTGATTCCAGCTGTCTTGCTGCTGTAGCTCAGCCGCAGTCGCCGTAAGTCCGGCAGATTGCTCAGCAGGTAATCAAGCGGAATGTGATCTGTTGTAGATGGGTTAACTCATTATACTCTGCATGAACTTGTCATTTATTGATGATGTTGCAATCGACAGCATGGAATTCTCAAAGTTTCTAAATGTTAGTCCTGATTCATCATTCATTAGTCTGTTCATTAGTAGTTCATCATTAGTCTTCAGTCATCAGTCATAACTTATTACCCGTTAGTTATCAGTCATCAATGATTACTCATCAGTCATCAGTCACCAGTTACCAGTCAACAGTCATCAGTCATCGATCATTACTCATTAGTCATCAGTCATCGTTCATCAGTCATCGTTCATCAGTCATCGTTCATCAGTCAACAGTCATCAGTCATCAGTGATTAGTCATCCCTCATCTGTTATCAGTCATCGTTCATCGTTCATCAGCCATCAGTCATCAGTTATCAATAATTCACCGGTTATCAGTTTTTTGTCATCAGTCATCATCCATTATCCATTAGGAAAGGGTATACAATCTCCAGTAATCAACAGGAGCACACTCACCATTGCTCTCACTGCCGGGTGGGGCGGGCTGTAGCCGATTTATCTCCAATTGATTTATGTACGACGCACAGATGTCCAAGGCGGCTTGCACATTACCATCCTGCTCGTAGTCGCCGGTTTGCATATTTTCAATAAACTCCTGCACATGTCGCTCCATGTAAATGTTAATCCAGTGTCTTTCCCTGCCGCGCGCCTGGAAGGGCGCCATGCGCCAACGCAGCTCGTAGCAGCGTCGCCAGAAGTAGTCGTCCCGTATGTGAGAGCTGAGCAACTGAAGCGGTAGCTGCGTATCCAGCTGGGTGAGTATATAGTTACGGTCCTGCCGTCGCCTCAGCTGACGGTACAGCGGCAGTTCTGGAAACAATAGTCACAGACGACTGTCATCTTGGATTGCGTATTTCGAATGTCGTCCTCTTACCGCTCCAATTGCTTACGATGGCGTCGAGCACAAGATGTCGCAGACTTTTCGCCTGATTTGCTGGGCCTTCGTCGGTCTCGGGCTGGAATTGGTCCAGTGATTTACTGTTGACACTGGGCAACTTGACATCATTGGGATTGAAATAGGCCTTGAAAGTGTCTATAGAGACGGTGCTGGGAAATTCGCAATAGCTAAAATCCATCTAAACAGTTCTGTGCTTTACAAAAGCATTTTACATTTGCACTGAGGCATCATAACAGAGCTCTGAGTCGTTATAGAAACGTAAAATTGTTGCCAAAGCAACTTCTTGCTTGTTATCAACATGGTTGCAAGCTCTAATAACAAGTTTCGATGGTTCTGAACAGAGCTTAAATCAATTTTTTAGCATAGGATATTATAAATATTTATTTTTCAAATAAATTTATAATAAATTATAAAATTAATTTATTACAAGTTGATGTAGTGGATACTTGGGAATATAATATTCTAGGCGCTGATGGCGCCTTAACATGCACTCTTGAAAATCTCGAAACTGGGAATAATCCACTGTATGGCACTGCTCAGGATTGCCCTTTTTAAACAGGCTCCTCCGGAGCTCATTCATGATCGGCCGGCTACTGTGCACAGTCGAATAAGGATACATTGAAAGCCAATTTTTTATTTTAGGAATGTTATAGATTGTAGATCTGTCAGCGCATACGTTATCTAAATTATTACTATTTAAAATAGGCTATTTGATTACTTGTCATTAAGAATTGTGTACCTTGTCATATTGTTGGACTTACTCATCTGGATAGTAATTTTCTTGTGGGTCCTTATCTTTTGTTATTCGTGGAATTGTAACCAATGAGTTGACATTAAAGCGCTTATCCTTCCAAACTTTGCCATATGTGATGCCCCACGGATTGTACACCCATTTGCCCATGTCATCAAGCTTGAACCTCGATATTGATACAGTCCATTCCGTTTCTCCTGTTACTTCGCTCTCTGTTGTGTAATCCTGATTGGCAGCCAGTGCTTTAATGAAAACTTTATGGCTTTCTGGCTTTACGGTTGGTTTAGATTCTGTATTATCCTTTTTCTCATTTCTAAACTGATCCACGACCATTTTGTTTGTAACGCCATTTTGGACATCAGCTATGCTTTCATTGGGCTTATCATTATTTTGTGTTGGGATCGAAATCTCTAGCGATTCGTGTGTATCATTTTCCAAATTGATTAAGGGTTTGGTGTCAATATTACCCAAAAGAACTATCTGTATTATGAATCCAATCAGTCAATGAATTTGATATATGTATAATCATAGCTTACATATACGAAGGCAATACTTAGTATATAATTTAAGTCCATAGTACAAATACGATCGTATATAAAAGAACATAAAAAGTGTAGATTCTTAAAGTTTTAACAAATTTTTTATTTGGAATGAAACAAACATTTCATAGCTAACTAAATCAAAGTAATAAATAAAATAATATTTATTATTCCTTGATCTAAATCGAAGAAGATAAATATCAGTGTTTGACATAAGGATGCTTATGCTTGATTAAACTTGGATACCTGAAATAAAACATTAATTTTTATCTTCAATTAAGTCTTATTATTGGTAATTTGTTATTCAGTTTGAGATTATTGATCAAGCACTTCGAGCGTTAATATACATAGAACTCAAGTAAAATTTTTTCATCAGCCTTTTAGAAATTTTAACATATACTATATAATATACCCTATGCAGAGTATGAAATATACGGATACAGCCGCGGCAATTCTGTTCAGTCAAGCACTGCCATTCACTGTCTGTGTCCGCGTCTGGGCGCATATTTGTAATGTGGCCAAGCGCATCGTTAAGAGCCATAAAAATAATTCAAAATAAATTGCTTTACATAAAAATTGGTTCGAATTTGGGCAGAGGCAAAGTCGCAACAGTTTTATAAGGTAATGTGTAAGGTATAATTTGGTCATAATAATGCGAATCATGAAAATTTAAGACTCACCCATACACACACGCATACACACTCGCACACTCATACTCATGGACGCATCGCATAGACAAGCTGGGTTATTAATTTTGGCGTCGGATTTTGCTGGGTCGCCGTCGCGAAACATAAATAACGCGCTTTATACGAAACACTTTGCATATTTGCAGGCGCCGCACAACTAAGCCATAAAAATTACAAGAATCTGATGCGGCAAAGTCAAGAAGCCCAGTCATGTCAGCTGCGGATTCTGAGCTAAGTCCCAGGTAGACTCTCGTCGTGAACGACCACAATAAAAGAGACCACGTCAATTTTATTGGCAAACTGAGAGTAGCCGAGGCAGCAACGGCTCCAATGATACCGCAGAATAACAGAGCGCCCTGTAATGACGTGTAATTATGGTCATAATCGCATTGCCACTTGGGACATTATCGGCTTGCCCCAAAACGACTTTGATATGCAAATGCCGAGCCACAAGATAAACATGTTTACATCGCTGGATGATCCACAATACAGCGTGAGTGGCGGTACTTACGATATTATAATGCATAAGCTTGACTTAGACACAATAGTGTATAAAATACAACAATAATTCTTTGAGTTCTGTTTTGAACATTAAACTTTACACTATACACTATAACCTTATATATAAACTAAGTTTTAAAATAATTAGTATTTTATCCTATCCATAAGTATAATCGAAACTATAGAAACTAGAAGTCGATTTACTTTAAAATCATCCAAAAATTTTCTATTTCGATGAAATCTTTTGTTAGTTAAAAGCTTCTTATCCAAACCTCATTGTTGAATGGCTATATGTGTACACATGACAATAATATTTTTATTTTTGTAATACATACATTTATTATTTCAATATTGAATACATATATTTTTACAACTTTCGACTTTTGGCTTTCTAAAATTTATATTGCATATTTAAGCCGTACCCCATATCGGATTTACCCCTGAAGGGTCCGCTGGTGTGGCGCATTGCGTTTGCTGTGGCAGCCACGTTTAGATTGCCACTGGGCGAAGTGTAGAGATTGGCACTTCCACTGGCATTCACGGCGGTCATATTAAACTTGGGCACATGGTTAACACCCAATGTGGCTGAATGGCCTGTGGCGGTCTTTATATCCATTCCACCGCCAAATGTATCCAGATGGCGATTGTGAGTGTGATAGGCACTGGCATTCATCTCAGCATTCTTATTCTGGAAGATGTTCGCTTGACCCGCTACCGTTGTGGTGCTGCCAGATCCGCGGGTTTGAACATGTTCCACTGATAGACCATGGCCATTGCTGTCAATCAAATGAGCAACATGTGAGTGCTCTTAGTTAGTAAAATGCTTGAGCGACTTACCGGTTCACTGCTGCATTAACGCTAATGCTGTTGTTAGTGACATTAGCTCCGGCACTTCCCTTGATTTGTTCCATTGTTGAATAATTAACAAATTTTGTAATTGTTAATGCTTAAGCGATTCAAGTATCTCTGATGCTCTCCACCACGGATTTCTGCTCTTTTATACTTTTTGAGTTGGAGCTATTTAAAGCACAGACCATAAAGGCGGTGCATTTCCGCTGAAAATCTTAACAAGCTTTGACAAATACAAATACAATAAACGCAGTCATATATGATATATGCGATTATAAATTGATATATGTATGCAATGATGTAGTTCCCCAAGTATACGAATCGTTTGTTAGTCTTTTAATAAAATATATTGTGGTCGTGGATTCCCCTACTAATAAGTGAAATATATGTATGTATGCGATGTGTGAAATTAGTCAGATTTTAAATTTTTAATTAAGAGCTAGGGAGCTGAAATTTAGCATGCATATTCGTGGATACCACACACAGTACAAATTTAGCATATTTTTTCGATAACTCATTCGGTATCTTTTTTATAGAGAATATTCGATAAATTGATTTCCGTTATTCAACTTAACTTGAATACTATTAGACCTGGAGACTTCAGATTTACTGTCTATATTCATTTGATGAATACGAAGATTTTGTAATTTACAGATTTTGGATACCACGCCCCCTTCGCCCCCCAATTTGTAAAAAGTACTAGTACTTTGTATTTCAGGTACTAGAGGCTTGTGCCTCAAAACAGACACATATTTGAACATTATAATCACGTTCTGAAAGTTTCGTGAAGATAGTCCTACTATAAGAGAGTCGTTGTCTCGACTAGAGACTTCATACGCATTTTCTTAAATTTCACATTCAAAAGATTATTGTCTACATATGTACATATATGTTCGTATTAAACAACCACAATAAAAGAGATCACGTCAATGATATTGGCAAACTGAGAGTAGCCGAAGCAACAGCAGCATAACAGGGCGCCCTGTAATGACTTGTAATTATGGTCATAATCGCATTGCCACTTGGGACATTATCGGCTTGCCCCAAAACATGTTTTACTCGCAGGATGATCCACAACAGAGCGTGAGTAGCGGTATTTACGGTAATATAATGCATAAGCTGGACACAATAGTGTATAATACACAACGATAAATCATTAAATTATAATTTGAAACTTTTCACTAAACAATTATCCTATACATAAACTAAGTTGTCCATAAGTATAGGCTTGTCGCGAACCTAAAGGAACTAGAGATCGATTTACTTTAAAATCATCTATTCTTTTTCTATTTCGATAAAATCTTTCGTTTGTTAAAACTTCTTCTCGAAAGCTCATTGTTAAATGGCTTTATACACTTCGCGTCATCAGGTTAGCGCCCCCCCTTACACTCATTTTCTTTTACGTTTTTCTCTTTGCCTATTGCACGCAAACTCTTGGTTTTGTTTTTTTTATTTCATTATCATCATATGAGATGTCTCTCATACCAAAAAAAACCGCGAGTGAAAACCCGTTATGTTTTATTTTCTATCCTTCTCTATTTTCGCAAAAAATGTGTGCACTTATTTTGCGTCATCAGATTAGCGCCCCCAAATGCAATTGTAATTATCTTGCTTATTTTGGCAATTACACTCACCAAATTTTTTGTGAAGCTCAAAGTATTCAATATATTTATAGTATGGGTAAAGAAACAGTTTTATCTTTGGTTGAAAATCAAAGATTGAGGCATACTTTGAATCTAGACTATGCAACCATAAAATTGCTGAAAAATCAGGAAAAAACAGAAAACTAAGTGGCAATTTTCTTACAAATAGGGAAAACTATGGAAAAAACTATATAAGCGGTAATAATCAAGTGATTTCAGAAGGAAATAGAAGAGCATTAGTTCGAGAAGCTTCGAATTCCCACGAATCGACCACCAAGATTAGGGTTAAAATCAGTGTTAGGACGAGCTTATCAACGGTCTAAAGAGCAATTAAGAAAGTTAATTACTTAAAGAAACAGAATAAAAAAAAAAGACACCAGTCGATATGCTGAGAAAAGAAATACGCATTAATTTTGGCCGGGCGAACATGACGTGGCCTACCCAATGGCAGCATGTTGTCTTTTCTGATGAGAAAAATTGAATTTGGAAGGAACTGATGGATATAATTATTATATCCATGACCTACTCATAGAAGAACATTATTTGGAACGGTTTCCAAGCCGCTGCGCCGGGGGGTGGTGTGGCATTTGTGTAGGTATCAATATCTTACTACAGCACTTGCAAGCTTCAATTTTTGACATCGCGCATGAACGCATAGGACCATAATATCGTGTTTAAAACTGCTGTTCCGCATTTTTATAACCTGTCTGAAAACCGGCATTAGATTTTCCAGCATGATAATGCCCCAATTCAGACCGCCCGATCCCTGAAGTCCTGGATTCAGGGCCAAAAAATTGATCTCATGGAGTGGCCACCATACTCACTCGACCTTAATATCATTGGAAACGTCTGGGGATGGTTGGTCAGGGAAAGTATATGAGTCCGGAAAGCATTAAAGTACAAAGACAGAGTTAATCGAAGGTACTGAACACGCTTAATCAACCATATCCTTGAATAATATTGAACAACTTTATAATTCCATTCCTAATCGAATTTTTTAAGTAATTTCAAACAAAAAACGGCACTACGCACTACTAATATTACTTAAAAATAACACTAGCTTAAAATACAGGTGTTATTTTTGGTAATTAACTTAAATAAATTGAATTTAGCGCAGGGGGCGCTAATCTGATGACCAAATTTTTGTTACATGTTTTTTGTACATTTTACAAAAAAAATTATTAAAAAATAATCCTTATTGTTACAGTAGCCATTCTTTTTGTATTTTAAAGAAAAATAAATGGAGTATAATGTAAAAAAATTTCAAAGATGGAGCTCTGCTGGTTTAGATTTTATTTAGCTTTGAGGTTGAGTGTAAAGGGGGGCGCTAACCTGATGACGCGCAGTGTATATTTATTATTTTCGTAATACATTTATTATTTCAATATTGAATACATATATTTTTACAACTTTCGACTTTTGGCTTTCTAAAATTTATATTGCATATTTAAGCCGTACCCCATATCGGATTTACCCCTGAAGGGTCCGCTGGTGTGGCGCAATGCGTTCGCTGTGGCAGCCACGTTTAGATTGCCACTGGGCGAAGTGTAGAGATTGGCACTGCCGCTGGCATTCACGGCGGTCATATTAAACTTGGGCACATGGTTAACACCCAATGTCGCTGAATGGCCTGTTTCGGTCTTTACATTCACTGCTCCAAAAACGCCCTTTGTGACGGGTCCGGCAGTACTGTTGGTCGTAGCAAAAACTCCGGCACGTGCGTTGACTTTTTCATCTCCGGCTTTTACTCCACAATTAACCGAAGCTGCTCCCGTTTTTGGATCCCCACTTGGTTGACACTCCATTTTTTAATAATCTAAAAATTAGGTAATTGTTAATGCTTAAGCGATTCAAGTATCTCTGATGTTGTCGACGACGGATTTCTATCTTTTTATACTTTTTGAGATGGAACTATTTAAAGCACAGACCACAAAGTCGGTGGATTCCCGCTAAGAGTCTTAGCAAGCTTTGACAAATATAAATACAAAACATGCAGTCATATATAATATAGGCAATAATAAATGGATGTATGTACACAATGATGTAGTTCCCCATGTATACGTATCGTTTATTAGTCTTTTAATAAAAAAATTTTGCGGGCATGGATTCCCCTAGTAATATGTGAAATATATGTATGCAATATGTGAAATTGGTCATATTTTCAATTTGTATTATTTTAACCTCAGGGTTTATTATTATTTAAAGAATTAAATAAAATGTATTTTTATTAAAAGTAAAAAATAACATTTCTTACACAAAACTTCATATTATTTGAAAGCTGACAATATCATTACATAAATAAAATTTATGAACATATATGTATATATTTTGTTTTTTTTTTTTTTTTTTTTTAGATAAACTACGCATTTTCTTAAATCCCACATTGAAAAGATTATTATCTATATATATATGCATATAAATGTGTTTATTTTGGTATATTTTCATCACATCTTAAATAAATACAAATTGTGAAATTGAACTGATTTTATTTTTATCTTTTGCGTTAGTGTGAGTCACATATTTTACTTACTTTCCACAGATTTATATTGTTGTGTCAGTTTGGACACAGTCTATCAATGTGGCGCCGTGGCTTAGTTGGTTAAAGCGCCTGTCTAGTAAACAGGAGATCGTGAGTTCGAATCTCGCCGGGGCCTACAAAGGTAAAAACTTTGGTGTTTCTTTTTTTTGTGAAAAATTAATTTTTCATTTAATATAAATTACAAATTTTAAATTAGAATTTATATATTAAAAAAAAATTATCCGCAATTTGTCAAAATACTTATTAATCTATTATTAATTTGGAAAAAAAAAATATTTTGTAGATTTCGCCCATCTGTCAACTGGCGCCGTGGCTTAGTTGGTTAAAGCGCCTGTCTAGTAAACAGGAGATCGTGAGTTCGAATCTCGCCGGGGCCTTTGCGGATTTGTGATTGCTTTTATTTTATAAATTATACAAATTTAATTCGGAAATAAATAAAACTCAAATTTTTGTTAAATGAATTGGAATTATTTCATTTGCCTGGCATGTTGCGTCTATTCCAATCCCTTTAGAGTCTGAACAATATACAACGATTCGCGACGAGCTCATGTTGCTTTTGTGCGTCTGCATTGATGACAGCTGACAGAAAGTTTACGTGGAACAAACAACGGTTTGAGTTCGCCTTTATGACTTCCAACATGTAGGTATGTATGTATGTCCTCAACCCCCGAGCCAAACCCCATTATGCCACACTTTATCGTGCCAGCAGCTGCCACCTGTTGTCCTCGTTGGCGACATTGCACAACGGAAGCCAGCGAAACAGCATGACGGATATGTTCGACAGCATGTTGCATGACTGCCGACTGACCAGCCAGCGGTTGTTTCTGAGTCTGGGGGAGGCTGGAGACCATTTGCTTTGCAAATGTATCTCATGTTGCTTGCGTCCGACGGGCTTTCGATGGATTCTCTGAGGCGGGGCTAGATGCTGCAATTAGCCAGCAGCAACATTATTTGTTTCGATTTATTTGCAGTCGTTGGGCTTATCTTTACTTTTTATGCCCAAACGCACAAGGCTGATAATTTCCGTAGAGTCGGACAATGCTTAAAATAATAAATATGTAAACCACAACTTCTGACAATGGCCAACTAGGTTGTGTGTATGCGTCGTATGTGTAATCATTTTTATGGATTTAATTTCCAGGACATTGGAATCCTTTTGTGTGGTTGCCGGTCTGTCCCTTGTGCGTCGGATACAGCAATGTCCTCTTCTAATTTCCTCATAAGCATTATTATGCGAGTGTTGCTGACGATTGGGTTAATCTGCTGGACAACTGGCTCATTATTTGCGGACAGCAGCGTGTGCAGTAAACTCCAATCAAAGTTGTAATTAAAACTTTGCATTTGTTCTCGTTGAAAGTATTTTAGATATTGATGTACTAAATGAATTTGTGTGGATGTTTAGACTTTATAGCAAGATCTGAACAGTACAAAGTAAAGTAATCAGTAGACTTATAGTTATATAGATATGTTTTAATGATAACAGAACATTGAAATTATTGTATTTTAAATTTTGAGGTTATACCTGGTATAGCAAGACGCATTTAATTAAGATGCTATTTATTTTAAATACAAAATAGATGATATATATAGACAACTTAAACATACATATTTAATAGATATGTATACGCTCCTTGTGGATATGACAAATCGGGTCTATGTCTATTTAGCTATAGTCAGAATGCCAAAATGTAAGAAATATGCTATCGTTGACTCATTCTGCTGATTTAACAAAATATATATAATACCCTTTCGGTTAGTGAATGTTAAGCTTCTGCACCCTCAATTCTCTCAAAATAGACTAAACTGTTTCTAAACGTAAACGAGTATTAGATAGTCGGTATCTCACAATTTTAGAATTCTTATTTGCCTAATTGTTATATAGTTCATATTGTTTGGCATGCTTGGCTTTGCCTTCATGATATTTTTCCTATTAAAATCCCAACTGTTATGCCTTATATCTGTCATTTATCATTGGCATGGCTGCAATGAGTCTTGTGTATTTGTAATTGTCACGCCTGCGGTTCATGTTCTTCGCATTCGTCGCCTTCAGCCCAACTCATAAGCGAAGGACTAGCTGAAATGCTCGGCGCAAAGTAGCAGAAACTCACACCCAAACGTTTTTAGCAATTGTCAGCAATTTCGCTCAATAGACGGCAAAAACTATCAGACGGACAGTGAGACGGGAGGCACAGGACTAAACAAACGTCATTTCAGCACACAATGTCGTGTTGCTGTTGCTGTGTATTTTTGTGATTATCTTGGAGAGCAGAACAGAGCAGAGCAGTTGACCGTTGGCTGCTGACTCCCACACATGGTGGGCGTGTGGCTGAGCATTAACATAATTTATGTGGTTCCGCCGGATTTAGCTTTGTCGTAAAAAAGGACACACTCGGCCATTGTCCGTTTGAGTCTTTCGTTGCTTATTCCGATAACAAAGGCAATGCCGGGTGGGATTGCGGTTTTTATTGTTTTTATGGCAGCAAAGTTTATGAAAAGTTTCCCTGCCAACGATTTCGGTTTGTTTGCAATTTCGTTTTAGTTTTCTGTCGAGTTTGCATATTTTTTAATTAAATGCAAGTAGCCGCACAAATCTAAGTTGCTGCATGCCAGGGTGCAGGCATAATCTATCAGGCCATTTCTCAACTTTTTTGACTGCCCTTTTCCTGCCCCGTGGGACCGCCTGGCCCATGGCCATAAAAACGTGCGAAATTTTCACGGGCGCGTGAATTTTCACAGCATTTGCTTTTGTGTTTTTGTTTTGCCAGACATTCACAGGATAAAAGCCCCCCACACATACAGCAGCCAACTGATTGTTGTCACCTGTGCAATACCCATTGATTTTGTTGTTGATGGGCATGCGATGCTGTTGGGTCAATAGAGGACAAGCTTCGAGACGGTGTTCGAAGCATACTCGGTTTACTTAAGATCGGGCATCAAGGCAATATGTGGATTCTGATTATTATTTTCCGTTATCTAGTATTTTGCAAATAATTTATAGTTTTTTGTCATGCATACAATTTTTTTAAATATTTATATTGTAACAAACTTAAACTTATTTTTGTAAAAATAAATATTTTAACATATTAATTTATATATCGATAATAACATAGGGTAATTGTTAGACGTTCGATATGACTCTTTGATTTGCTTAAGCTTTTTTAGTACACCTGACACGCAGCACTCATAACTCAAAATGTTGTTGTTGCTCGCTTTCAGGCGGCCAAGCTGCGTAATGTGGCAAAACAAAATCAGACAAAAACAAAAAAAGTAAAGTAAAAAGAACCAGGTTAACTTCTTTATTGTGGAACAGTAAATAATGGCAGGCACGTGCCGGAACCAAATATTTTCAAAAACTTTGTCTAGCAGAGAACGTTTGAAGTATGAAATGCATCAATATTTTAAAATAAAACTAGAACGAAATGAATTTGAAGCAATTATGTGTGTAAAGAAGATAAAAGACTAAAATAAAATACTAATGAAATGTATGAAGTGGCCTCGATATAAAATGAGCTAAGCGGAAAGCCCCAGTGGCCGATGCTTAAATTTAAGTTAATTTAATTTTATATAAGGTCTAACTGAGATATGAGTAAATCTTATTTTACAAGCTTAAGCATTTGAAAAATGTAAATTTGCAATTGCGGCTGTACAAGATCATATATTACAGCGATCATATATTCCACCTATAACAGATATAGGTTTTCTTAATACTCCTCTCCAATTGTAATATCCAACGCTTGGCTGATTCACGCCACGCCCCGTTGGAAGCTGCCTTGCTTCGCTCTGCGCTGCTTTATTGCCGCCCCAGCAATATTTATTGACTTTTGAAATATTACGTTTAGGCTGAAGCTATTTCGGCATCTAATTTGCAAGTTAGGAGATGCCTAGCTTTGGTTGAGCACGCTTATCAGTTGAGCCCAAGCCTATTGCATCATACGGTGTGTTGTGACGATCTTCAAGTGCTGCACGCTTGGCTGATGCAATTGTGGCGGATTACCAGAGCAACGGCTGCCCAAAGAGTTAATTACAGGCCTCATTAATTACGGCATCTCATGGGCGATGGAGTCGATGGCTTACACTACATTTCATTGGGGCTCAACTGGCAGTAGTTGGCACAGTTCCTCGCCAGACATCAGCGCGCTTAGTTGCTGAAAATGTCCACACGGGTAGGTGGCAGCTCAGCTTCCTTTATTACAAGTTCTTCTCCTCTAAGGGCTCTTCAACAGATTCTTCTCATTTTTTTGTTGCTGGCTGCCTGTTTGGCGGACATGCAGCAGGATGCGAACGAGGATTATCAGGAGCAGCCAGAGCATATTGATGGGCGCTCGTTCTTCTTCCTTGGCACCTTATTTCGACGCTGGCGCGATCGCTGGTTGGCCTTTCACGGCTCTGCACCGCTCTATGCCGGCGCTGCTTTCCCTCTCAATGGCTACTTCAACTGCCCGTCGTACGGCTGTAATCCTGCAGCCATTGGACCACAGCCAGGTGGCTTCTATCCGACCTACTATGCCTCGCCGATCCCGCTGCAGCCTCAACAGCAACAACAGCAGCAGCAGCAGCAACAGGCGCAGGGCAATAGCAATGTCTACATATATCAGACTGATCAGAATATGGCTAGCTCAGTGTCCCATCCGCCGTATGGACCCGGTTTCTTCGGGCCAGCCCGGCAGCCCACACCACCGCCGCCTCGACCGCTGCCTCTGCCACCACCAGCACCGCTGCCGCAGCTGCCACCGGCCATGCCTCCGCCTCAAGGGAGTGCTAGCAGCTTTGGATTTGGACCTGGACCTGGCCCTGGAACCGTTCCGCTGCCAGCCTGCGGACCCAACTCGTTGTCCTGCGCTTTCGGCTAAGCAGCCTCGCCTAAGTAAACAACGCAGACAAAGTAAAAGAAAACAATACAATTTTAATTGAAAAGTGTGCAACCAAAAAAGCAAAGCAAAAATATACAAGAAACGAAATTCTCACATCAAAGTAAACGAAGTTCCGTTACTCTCTATTCAAATAAATTCAATGAGAAAAAATTATATAATTTTTAATTACAGTGAAGTATTAACTGATTGCGATATAAAAGAGATCTTTCGAACTAATTAAAGTAATATCAATATAATAATAGTTGGTATTTATTACTTAATTCTTAATTTAACTTTCAAAGATTTAACTTAAAGTTCACGAAGAGCTAAAAAAATGTAAGCCAAGAATTATTCATGTTACACTTGGTATGACTGAACGGCAATAACCCAAGTGGTAAGTCATTAAAAAGGGTTACATGTAAAAATGTGAACAGAAATGAGTGCAGAGCTGTGGGAAGGGCACACTTACATACAGCCATACACACACACACACACATACACACAACCTCACCTACTTATGTACGTGTACATAGGACACACAAGCACACAAGCGGCCAAACATACATGGACATTTATCCATTAACGCCGAAAAACTCCAAACCAATCTGCATAAACAAACTCATCAGGAGCAAACGAAATGATGGCATTTGTTTTGATTCCATCATAAACCATAAGATAGCTCCAGACATTGCTGATGCTGTTGCTGTTGCTGATGCCGATGCTGAAGCCAATGCCGATGCCGATGCCAATGCCAATGCCAATGCAGACCCTGGGCTGCTGAATGCTGATGAAGTGGTTGAAGCTGCCCAAGGAGCAGACGTGAACCCAACGCGCTGCTGAATTGTTTGGCAAATAAATGCCTGGAAGCGCATAATGGATGGATGGAAGGATGGATGGTTGGCTCGCCTGGCTCCGGTCAGCTTGTAGCCCAGTCCGGCTCTGTTATTATTTTTATATAACTTGTGAAAATAATAATAGAGCTTGCCGGACAAGGCGGGGCGTGGCCGACCAAACAAATACGTCAGCAAGCGACAGTTGTATAAACACAAGTGTGAAAGTGCAGATAGTAACGGCTGATGGGCAATGAGCAATGGGATCCGAATGGACCACCGCGTCCATATCCATATCCAGCCGAAGTGTCTTCAGCTCTCTCTTGTTTCAGATCCCCATATGAAATTGTCCGCGTGTTTATTTGTGTTTGTGCTATGACAACAAAGGCGCACAAAACTGGAACGAGTTGAGTGCAGTGTCCAGATCTGAAGTCCAACTGCTGGCAGGTGTTGTTGTTGTTTTCCTTTGGGCAACTTTCACTGACCGGAAACGGAAATTAAATGCATAAGTTTGTTCAAGTTGCCGAGTCAGCGACGTCTACTTCTTATCAAGTTTCAAGCAGTTGACGGAACATTGGATATCAATGTGATAGATGTATTCATTGCGAATGCTAGTTTGAAATTTGAAAACAGGCTAATTAATATTAATATTTTGAAAGATTTGCTTGACACATTTCCAGTCATTTAGCTTAATAACAAGTTTCCTGCCCTACATTGAAGATAAGTAATATTGTTTGAAAATTTTTGTTTTAAAAAGATTTTATAAAGCGCTTTAATTTTGCTCAAGACAAATTCAACAAATCGCAAGCTGTTTCACAAAATGCTCAGCTGTTCCCAACTTGGTCAACGGGGATGTAGCTCAGATGGTAGAGCGCTCGCTTAGCATGTGAGAGGTACGGGGATCGATGCCCCGCATCTCCAAATTGGGATTAAATTTTTACTTTTTATATATTTTATTTTTATACTAATATTTTTGTTTTTAAATGTAACAATAATTTTTACTGATGTTTTAACACTTATAATTTGAAATTTGAAAGTTAAAAATACTAAAAATATAAAAAAAAGGGTCTGGGCTCAACCGGGATTTGAACCCGGGACCTCTCGCACCCAAAGCGAGAATCATACCCCTAGACCATTGAGCCTCATGGCTCGAGCATGACAGTTTTGCTTTTTGTATTCATTTTACGACACAATTTGTATTTATGCAACAAATTTAATTGTGAAAGTAGATCAGGAGTGAAATACACTTATACCTATATATAGAGATTTTTGTTTCGGTATCATTCAGAGTTTAATGTAACTTTATTTAAAATTATAGAGAACTTTTCTTTCATAAGCATATATGCTTTGTTTGTTGTGCAGTAAACAAATAAACTATTAAATAAGCTTACGCATATATATTATATATTTGTAGACTAGCTAGCTAAATTTATTAAATACATTAGCAAAAGATTAATTCCCATTGGAGATGCGGGGCATCGATCCCCGTACCTCTCACATGCTAAGCGAGCGCTCTACCATCTGAGCTACATCCCCATGCAAGACGGGCGTTGTGAATACATTTACGAACAAAGTTAGGTATTTCTGTATTCAATTTTTAATGGTTAACGAACTTATAGCTATGTACACATTAATAACATGGCAAAATAGTCATTTAAATAATACTTCAGTTGACTTTGGGGGCCCCAATTAGTTGACGTAGTTGACTAGCCATAGTAGTTGCCGTAGCCGGGTCCAAAGCCGCCACCACCAAATTGGGCACCTGGATAGTAGCCGGAGTAGCCACCGAGTCCACCGCCGTATCCATAGCCTGGGTAACCACCGGGATAGCCGCCGCCGTATGATGGCACTAGCGGAGGTGCTGGATAAGCCTGTCCCAAAGGTTGACGTCCACCACCGAGTAGGCCACCCAAAAGATTGCTAAACAAGCCACCACCGCCACCTCCACCTAGCAGGCCATTCAAGCCAATAATACGATTACTGACACCACCAGCTGGAGCTCCTGATGCAGAAGATACACCAGAGGCCCCTGCGGCGCCAGTGGCACCTGAGTTTGGATATTGGTATTGGGCATAGCAACTGCCGAGGAGTGCTAGCACCAAGAGCTGTTGGAATAGAATTGTGAATTTTGTGACAGATTATTGGCAAAAAGATTTACTTACGGAACTGCTAATCTTCAACATGTCTGGATATTGTCTCTTACTTGACTGTTTGACTAACTCCAAGATGCTTCAGTTTTTATAAGACAATCACAGAATAAACGCCCACATAGGCCGGAACTGTGGATTTGTGTGACGACCTTAACCCCATGATTTGAACGCTATCAATGCTTTTCACATGATTTGCTAACATTTTCGCAATAGTTGCTTATACTAAATAAGTCACATTAATATTTATGTCTTGGCTATAAAACAAGTTCTTCTCGTTATAACGTTAGTTTCTGAGTTCTTTGAACTCGTTGATAAGGAAGTACAGGAAATCTTCGAGAATACTATAAAAGTGACGACTCGCATCAACTGCGGGTTAGAAGTTGTCTACATCATGGGACCAAACAGAGTGAGTTCCAAAGTCATTGAAGAAAATTCCCCTAAATGTAATATATGTATGTGTATAAATATATTTTTTCAGAGAATTATCTCGATGTTACTGCTGTGCGTGGCACTGGAGTCCAGCCAAGCTCATGGTTTTGGTGGCCACAAATTGGGAGGAGGCTTTGGTGTCGGCTATCCCGTGGCATATCCTGTGGCACAGCCAGTTCCAGTTCCGCAGCCAATTCCAGTGCCTCAGCCCGTGCCCGTTCCAGTCGCAGTGCCACAGCCGATTCCGGTTCCATATCCAGTTGGCAAGCCATTTAAACACGGTTGGAAAGGCGGATTCGGAAGCGGTGGATTTGGTGGACTAGGTGGATATGGATATGGCGGATATGGCGGATTCGGTGGATATGAAAGCTATTCCTCATATAGCGGTGGATCATACGGCGGCTTTGGAGGGGGTTTTGGAGGCGGCTTCATAAGAAGACGTTAGATCTTTGTTATTTATAAATTAGTGCATTTAAGCTTATTACTGTACTGTTACTTAGGTCTGCAACATATTTACATAAACTAAAAAAAATGACGATACAAATTAAATATTTCTTCTCAACTGAATGAAAATCAAAAAGCTGTTCCCGCCCGGGTTCGAACCGGGGACCTTGTGCGTGTGAAGCACACGTGATAACCACTACACTACGGAAACACATAACAAACAGACAACTTTTCGCCAAGATGTGCTGTCATTATGGGACGCCACCTATTGTTCATTGCTGTTTATTAAGAAAAAACCTTTAGCATACCAATAAATACATAGGTATAACTGACAGTTTTATTTGATATATTATAAAAGTTTTTCTTTTATTTTAGATATGTATATAAAAATTATTATTATTATTATTTTTTTATTTTTTTATTTGAGTATTTATAAAATACGGCTGAGTCAGTAGGGAAATATAAAAACTTCTGTAGAGTTTCTATACTTTCTATAGTTTATTTATTTATTGTAGTTTATCAATTTCTTTGCATTTTACTGGGAAAATATAATTACTTCTCTAAAGTTTCTTTAAATAAATAAAAAATTGCCAATGTATATAAACGTATAATATTCCCCATATTCGCAACGATTAATTATAAAATGTTTATTTTGGTATGCAAATGAATGTGAACTTAAAATTAAATAACAAATATAATTTAATGTAGACAATGTGGTAATCAAGATCATGTATTAACGAAGTTAAACTTTTCTGGAGAAGTTTTGTTTATTTTCCCCACAGACCGCCGCCAAAACTACCACCTCCATAGCTTCCACCGCTGCTGTAGTGGCTTTCGTGGTGATATTCCTCGTGATGCTGATAGCCGCTGCTGTGACCACCGCCATAACCGCCACCAAAGCCACCACCGAAGCCTACTCCACCACTAATGCCTCCGCCAATTCCGCCACCGAATCCTCCGCCATGACCCGCCAGTGCATGCTTAAGACCCAATAGCTTTGGTGTCCGAACTTTCAGTCCAACGAAACCGGCATGTGGACCCTTAAATGCGAACAGTTTCACTTTTCCGGCTGTTGCTGCTTGGACCAACAAAACGGAGCAAATGCCGAGCAGGAGGAGTAGCTTGTGCTATAAGATTTTCAAAGTAAAATATGCATTAAAAATATTGTCCTTGAAGTATTTTTTTTTTTTTTTTTTAGTATGTATTATATAAATATATACTTATATAATATTTCTAAAATTGTTGTATAGTTATTTTTTTTTTTTTTTTTTTTTTTTTTTGTAAAAATGTAGTTTTATCTCTATTTAATAAAATATTTATGTATATTTTTTATTTTTATACACATAATTTAAATGATTTTAAAAATTCGTTTTACTAGTAAATGATGTACATTTTATGTACATGTTATATTTTTATTTTTATTATTTTTATGCGGCATATAAATTTTGTTTCACACTGTGATTGTTTATAAAACTTTGTTTCTTTTTGGTTTATGCTTTTGAAATTTTATAGTTTTACACCGTTTTTGTACTCACAATGATTTGCATTTTACACCAAAGTTATACACAATTTTTAATTGATTCAATTTGTTTGCTACGCTTCAAGATTTGGCTTTATGGCCTCGTTAATATTCACTTATTGTCTTGTAAGCCTTCAAGTTCGAATTTCGCTTCGTTGATTGATGTTAGCTGCATGGACCACGATATGTGTGCAATTGAAGCTGCTGCGTGGTGAGCGAAGAGTTTTTATGCCACTGACGCGTTTTCGAAGCGTTTATTGTCGCCCTTATGCAATCGCCGCTCGATGAGATCTTGTTTGTGTTCATTGTTGTTGTTTTTGTTGTTATTGCTGTGAACTTCAGCTTTTATTTAATTTGTTGGCATCTCTGCTGTATTCACAAAATTGACCCTGAAAATTTCTGGTTTTCAAAGTAAATAAGAGCAAAAATACAACAAATAAAATATATAAATGGAACACAAAGTTTACATATAAATAATGTATGTATATATGTATGTATGTACGTGTATGAGAGTGTAAAAAATCAGCTGCGGAAAACAAGCCAATCTGTAGGCAAGTGTTAATAACGGTTGAAAATTTTGAATGACAACAGCATATAGGCTCTCTCAGGGTAATTCCAGCTGAAAGAGGCGTTCTTGGTCTTAATTTATATACCCTCTCAACCGGCACAGTAGTGCCGTGCTATAATTAATAAATGAACAGCCAATGGAATGCGCTTAGAATAATTATCAAGGCTCACAGCTCTCCACTATATCAGCTAACATAGATATGAAGATATATGAAACTCTATTGGACTAATCAAGTGAATCATCAAATGCTCGTACATATTTGGGTATTTTCGTTTTATTGACCTCCAAAATGCAAGCTCCAACAAAGAGAAATCAAATAAAATGAAAACGGAAATTTCCAGCAGTTAAAAACTTTTAAATATACAAACAATTCATATGCATAACTATCGGATTTATTTGCCAAACCCATATGGATAGCCAAATCTATTTCCAGAAGCATAGTTGTTGTAGCCATTGTATTGATATTGATTGAACTGCTGCCGATAGCCTCCGTTGTAATTGCCATAGCCGTAGCCAAAGCCGTTGCCTGGCCATCCGTAGCCAAGTCCTCCATAGCCCTGGAAACTGCTGCTGGATGCGGCACTGGCACTTGATGAGGCATAGTTTCCATATCCTGCAAAAGGTGCAAAGCCATAGCCAGTGGATCCAAGGCCCGACCACTGTGGTGCGCTCCAAGCGCAGCCACCCAGGCACCACAAGACACACACATATAAAGCGATCTGAAAAATGTTCAGTTCAACTAACTAACTTAAAAGAATTTGCTTCGCCTACCTTCATTGTTGACGTTTGATTGAAGACTTGTTAACAAATGCCATTAGCATTTTCCTTTTATTATGTCAAACTAAAACGGAAGTCAGCTACCACTAATTATCTCTGAATGGAAAATATACTAGGCATATAATTAAACAAACTAAAATAATAATGAGTTCAAATAAAGGTTAAGGTGATTAAGAAAGATGTACATATATTGTACAATTGAAAAATACAAATATATTCAAATTATCAACAATTCTTAAGCTAAGCAAATTTATTTACATTTTTGCATTATTATATTTCACAAATGATAATAATATATATTATTTGAATTATTAATTTTGTATTAATTAACATTTAATTCTTATTAATATTTTTTAAAATTAAAAAAACAAATTTTATTTATTTTTCATTAAGTTTTCGGATATACATACATGCAATTTTTAATTTGTTTTTTATTTATTTATTTATTTTTTATTTTTAAAAGGAACATTGTTGGATTTCACTTTCTTTGGAACTAAATTTATTAAGCTAAAATTGAAATTCAATTCGAGTAGCTAATCTAAGAACGTTTAAAACGTTAACCAGGTGCATAGCTAGCACCAATATTTTTTCAATCGTAATCGCTCGCAACACTTTAAAATAAATTCAATTAAAATTGCTATTCCTACTTGAAAATAACTTCCTCATGGTAATTTAGCTACTTTTGGTAACTTCTCTGACGTTCGCTGAGTAATCACCAGCCTGGGTTGAATAAACTGCCGACGAAAGTGAAGGTGTATCAAATATAGTACGATGCTAACATATAGATGTGTACGCAAATCAGAGACAATGCGTTGTTGTTGTTGGAGCATCACAAACCAAATACAAGACACATCATACATACATATATATATATTTTTGTCTCTAGTGCTATGAGCGAAATGATGCCGAAATGATTTCCGACAACTGCGCCCATGCTTGGCTGCACGTTCTGTGTAAAGTTTGTTGCCTAAGTCTTTTGTTATTTGATTGTCATTTTGCTCTAACGTAAAGTATTTAAGCTGTTCCACGGTGTTGGCTGTATTTAGTTTCTGATATATTATAATATATAATATATTAAATAAAGTTCATATTTTTACTTATTAATTTTTAAATTTGTGAATAAACAGTATAAATGTATGAAAAATACTTTTAGTTTCATTTGATTTTCTTGTAATTCGACTGCAAGAGAGTATTCAGGTTTCGTTGTTGTAACTCAGATGGCTGATTATTTTTATTGGGTTTTTTTTTGTGATCTTGATCTTCTATGGCTGCGGTCGACAATTGCCTTAACCCTCAAGAAATGATGTGTGTATTAGTGCATATATATGTATGCATGTGTGTGTTTTGACAGTCGAAAATTAACGCATTCTGCTGCTTGCTGGCTAAGTAATCATTGTCTACCGAGGGGGTATTCCACGATTTCGTCACTAACTGGTTCTGTTTGTTCTGCAATTCGCGTAGAATTACTTGGCAATGCGTAACGCGTCGTCATCTGCTTCTTGTGGCCGATCATTGGGCATACAAGCAGAGCAGGCTATATAAATGCGAAGCACTTCACAATTGCAATTTAGTTTCGTTACCGATTCGAGCGGGGCGACACATCAACTCATAATTCTCTCACACTCGGAATGGCGCGCTTGTGTTGTGTACGTATTGGTGTGTCTATTTAACGATCTTCCAGTTGCTCATCGGATGTTCTCTTATAGATGTTGGTGGCATTAGCCGTTGTCGGCTATGGAGCGGCTGCGCCGGCTCCCATCAAAGGGGAGGGACGGTCATTTGGACTACTCGGCGGTGGCTTGGGCGCCAGCGTGGGACTAAGTGCAGGCGTGGGCTTAAATACGGGTCTCTATAGTGGCTTTGGCGGTGGTGGCTTCCATCCCGGCTCGTTCGGCGGTGGCTACTATCCCGGCGGCGGTTATCATCATGGCGGCGGCGGATTCGGCGCTGGATATAGTGGTGGATATGGCGGTGGATATGGCGGTGGATATGGCGGTGGATATGGCGGTGGACATGGTGGTGGCTACTACCCAGGCGGCGGCTACAGTGGATTTGGACACAAGCCTTATTATGGCGGCGGTGGTGGCTACTATCCAGGCGGCGGAGCCTACAACAATTTCGGAGGCTCATATGGCGGCCACTACAGCCAGTCGCAGTCGCAGTATTCCAATAATTACCATAATGGCGGCTACGGCGGCGGCTTCTTTGGTTGATAGTCGTAGTAATATATGATCTTAGCTTAGCTTTAATTAGCTTTTACTATTCGTGTACCGCTGAAAAGTCCAGTTTGTAAAGTACAAAAGAAATACAAAGCATGTAAGCCCTGAAAAATCCCCGACTAAATCCGGTTTCTCTTCTCTCTCTCGTTGTCCTTGTCCTCGCAATTGCAGTTGTTGTTGTTTTTGGTGTTATTATTTTTATCGTCTTCTTGTTGCTCTTTTAATGGGATGAACGCGACGTGCATAAATTTATGACCTAAGATGGGAGAATTATATAGCACGTGCATGACTAAGATCTAAAGCCTGAGAACGAACGAACGAACCGACCATACAATTATTCATCGCACTTACCGCTCTATAGCCATAGTGGCGCAGCATAAACAGAATTTATGGCATCGTTTATTCTAAACAAGCCGAATGATCATCTTTTATTTGTATTTGGAAAGAAACAGAGATAGTTTTTGTATCATACGAATAATTATCAGGCTGTTGCATATATTTATATAGATCTGTATACATATACTCATATGTATGTATCTCATATTATCTCTTCATTTCGAGTTGCTTATTTCATCTGCTTACTCATATATAATAAATATACGAAGATAGCTCTAATTTGTCACTTTTGTTTAGCTTGCTCCCAGATCTTATTTATTGTGATTTATAATTGCTCTAAACAGTATTCAAAACGAGTTTTTAGAAATAAGTGAGCATAACACTCATTATTTTCTTCTTCAAGACCTCCCGTCACCTGATTATATTCATTAGTTTGAGCACTAACCATACAACCCACATATATTAAACATCTTTAGCGAACTCTTGGCACTCAATTGGAGTAAAAGTAAATGAGAGTTCGTTGTAGAAATTATTACTCTTAGGTCAGCTCTTCTTGTATGATACTTATGATACGCTCAAAATGATAACTCTACTTCTTATAAGTATAAGGTGTCATAGTATATTTGAGAGCGTGTGTGAGAGTGTTTGATCTTGAGGAAGTTACTCCCATATGTTCTATATATGTTTTTTAAAGCTAAAGACTAAAGCCAATGATACGAAGAGCAACAGTTTGAGACAGACACATATATGTACCTATATCTGCAGTGTTTTAAAATTGATAAGGTAATTTAATAGTTGTGTATATGTATAAACAACAAATGACTTTCGCCAAAAAAGGCTTTAATATATATTTTGTTCAAATTTCGTCATTTATTTCCACTTAATCAAAGCTTAACATAAAACCTAATTAAAATACTAATCGCTTGCAAATTTCGAAATTCGGTCTATCCATAGCTACTGCGATCGCTTCTCGCACGATAGACGCCTGTTTGGTAGACCGGCTGAACTTGGCCCGTTAGCTGTTGAATTATTCCATTGATGGTCGTAGAGACGCCGCCCACTAGCTGACCCGGCGTCACTGGTGGCTGTAAACAAAAATATCCACAATTGAGGTCAAGTTCAAATAGACAGATCTCGCTGGACTTACCGCGCCTGCAGAGTCAAAGTAGACGCGATTGGGAACCGGGCGACGCACGGGAACTGGATTATAGTTGGGGTCCACGGCGGGATCGCTTTGCGGGTCGTTCGAGGCAGAGGGGGGCCGCACTGGCAGCTGATCTGCGTAGGGCACTCCAGGCACCGTGGCTGCTAAGCTGTTTTGCAGAATGCCAGGTGCGAAAAGTGATAGCCAGGTGGCCAATGGTGCATAGGGGCGCACTGGCACTGGCACTGGCACCGGCGCTGGAGGCACAGGATCCGACAGCAAGCCGCCACCCAGTCCACCCAAGCCGCCACCGTAGCCACGACAGCCACCAGCGCCTGGATACACATTGTACACATTTAAGTCGAACAGGAAACGTCCCTGTTCGGCGGGATCCTTTTGGCCGGCTGCGTCCCGCCCGAAAGGTGTGCAGGGTCTGCCATAGGAGCCGTAGCCATAGGAAGCAGCAGCAGCTGCTGCATAGGGTCGATACAGCTTCTTCAGTTTCTTCTTTAACAGCAGAGATCGGTCGTCGCCCACGTCGGAGCTCAGCTCGTCCAGCTCTTGATTTCCGGCGCCCGCAAATTTGGGATTCACCGAGCCTAATTCGCTCTTGTTGTTGTTGCTGTTGCTGGTGCTGGAGCTCTGGCGACTATGGCGTGTGCCCAGTGTATTCTGGTTGTAGACCGAGGGGGGTGCTCGCCACTGTGGATAGTTGTAGTAATAGCGACGTTGTGCGGCTGCACAGTAGCTAAAGGCACAAAATAGGAGCAGATTGATGATCTGCATTTCGAAGGAATCTATTCGCGTTGTTCACTATGCGATGCTTCTATGTCTGTGGCGTGTTGGCAGCGAACTATGCAGCCAGCGTCGAGCACGCCCTAATTTATCACCTGTGCATGTGAGCAAAAAGTCGAAAAAGAAAAAAAAAAGCAACGAAAATTGCCAACAACTGGCAAATTTGCTGTTTTCCCTTAGAAGGCAGACGATTGCATAATTCCCTTTTTTTATTGGCTTGAATTTTTCCAGCGCATTCGCATTGTGTGCTTTTTGATACAAATGCTAATTTGAACCACCTCCGCAAGCCCAACCAGCGGGCAACGTCATTGTCATCGTCATCATCATCATGAATAACATCGTTTCGCCCACATGGTTTAGAAAACAAGTTACAAGCGTCGCGACTCTTGTGCATTGACCTGTGTCAAAAATCAACCGAGCAGGCAGCCACCCATAGGAGCTCTAACTTGATGATGAATCTAATATGTTGCCAAAAATAATATATACCACAAGTGGGTCAATGTCACGATGAGCGAGCGAGTGAGTGCTGGGAACCACCTTCGCTCATTATATTTCTCGCCGATGCGAGAAGCGCCAACAGCTGCAGAGAAAGATCAGCTGTAATAGCCAAAGTTTCAACAAGCAATTTTTTTTTTTTTTTTTTATGCGGGAAATTTAACAAACACTCTCGATGCTTCATTACTCTCACTAGCAAAATACCATGTGCTATTAAATATATATATAACTAAACAAGTTAAAATATATAGAGCAAACAAATTAGTTTGATTGCATGTCATTTTAATACACATTGCAGTTTAGGAAGCACATACATACATATATGTAAATAAATTTTATACAAAAGCAAGTGCATATACAATTTGGTCGGATGCAACCGACTTCACAATACTCGTTTACAGTTCAATAGAAGCTTAGCTGCCTTATATTTTAACAGATATGGATGTGATCTAGTTAAATAAGCATACTTTCGCACGCACTTTGTACAAATTTATATATACATACGTATTTATCATTCTAGTTATGCGTACAATGAATGTGTAGTAAATTATACAGTTTTAGTATTCATACAATATTTGCTTGACCCACAGCCCTCTCAAGACATTTTCTTTTCAACTTAGAACTACAAAACATTAATGTACAATTGATAGATTCCGTTCGATAGATTAAGTTGGGATAAGCCTCAGATTAAAAATAGATCTTAGCTTAGCAGATTTTGTGCGTTTAAGCCAAGGGTGTGGCAACAATTAAACGGCTGTTTTTGGTTTACTGGCTTCGGCGCGTTTGCGTTTAGCTCTCAGTTGCTGATTGCAATAGACGCGCAAGAAGATGGCAGCGAACACGATGAGCACTCCAAAGATGCCCAGCATCGTAATGCTATGCTGATAGATGAAACACGAAAGCATTATGGCGACGGCCTACCGAAGAGCACAAATAAATAACAGATGAGTATACAGCGGTGTGTGTGTGTGAGTGAGTGAAGCACTTACCTGGCGCACTGTCATGATAATTGTAAACACAACTGGCCCAAATACATCAATTGTGTGGTAGATAAACAATTGGCCAACAGCAGAGCATATGGATAGAATAACCATGTCGAAGACAAACTTGGGATGCTATAAGTTAAACAATTAAATTGGTTAGCTGTTAGAAATTTAAGAATACATTATGCGAATGGGCAATTTCAATAAACAAATTAAAAACTACAGAAATATATAAATAAGCATTATCAATTGCCCTTCTTTAAGGGCCCTTCTGCATTTAGTTTTTAATATTAGTATATGAATAAAAAGAATTTAAATTAAGGCCACTCACCTCTGTGGCAAATGCCAGTGAGTCCATGAAGCCGCCCTGCATGGAGAGCGAGGCACCGGTGAAAATGGTGGAGAACAAATTGACGCCGCACATCATTTGGATTGAGGTCATTCCATAGCTCTTGAAGAGCGAGCCCTGCCAATTGGCCGTGAAGCTGTCGAAGATCATATACATGGAGAGCAGAAAGATGCCCGTCAAGGTGGTTACGCCACTGGCCTTGTTGCTGTCCGCGGATCCAGTCATAAAGAATATCATGCCCAGTGAGATGAGCAACGCTGTGACATACTCGTACGATTCGTATTTGGCCTTGGACATGATCTTGCCCATCAGCATTACGGGTATGATCTTGCAGGACTTGGCCAGCACCTGCGTTGGGAAGTTCACAAATTTAAGAGCCTCATATTGGAACCAAGCACTCATGATATTTGAGAACGAGGCGTACGAATACTTGTAGAGGGGAGCACGATGCCGCGTTGTAGCCGGCTGCCATTGCAGATACCCTAATGCCACAAAGAAAGCCAACATACGGTTGGCAAAGACTAGAAACTGTGAGTCCTTAAACTTAGCACTTTCTCCAGCGAAGTTTTGATAGTGCTGCGTCATGATCTTCTCCTGCAGCACACCCCACGTTAAATAGGAGACCATAAGACCACCAAAGCACCAAAGCAGCTGCACAGCCTCCTGCGAGCTGGTGCGCTTACTTGGACGATCACGTTCCATGGCTGCTCCACTGCTGCTGCTGCTGCTGGCCAAATGAATAACGTCCACAGACTCATAGTTGGAGTTGCCCGTAATGCACATATTGATGGCCGTGTGCAGAAACGTTTTATTGCCCCGCTCGAGATAGTTGGTGCGCTGCACATACTTGTAGATGAGATAGCCCGGCACAAAGACGCAGCTGTAGCCGAAGCAGTTAACTAGCAACTTCAACAGCCATGCATATTCACTAGACTGTGACTCGATTAGCTGCGATAGTGTTACATCCAGAGCATAGCTTCCCGCTAGCGAGGCGCGCAACAGGTCCGTGAAGAAGTGTATTACCAGCAGGCTGGCTACCAGGAAGGAGCTGAGAGCATAACAAATCACATTAAGAGGCATACATATATATTTTTAACTGGATAACAAACCATATAATTAGCTCGGGCGTTCGATTCCCCATCTTGTAAACGTGCATGTGGCGTTTTTTGCGTTCTGCAAAGAGTCAAGTTCAAACACGAATTGGCTGACACGTTCAAATGGCGATATGAAATAAATAATCACGCCGCTAGCATTCTAGCCGGCAAAGTCAAGTGTCATAAGTTCAATAACCGCGCCAAACGAGTTTTCGCATAATATTAACTGAGCACCAGCAGCGGCAGTGGCAGCAGCAGCAGCTCAACAATAAATAATGATTACAGCGCGTTTTGTTTAAATGTATGTGTCGGGAAGTTTGTTTACATTATAAAAAAGTCGCGTGCCGAGTTATCGGTTTTAGTTTTTAATGAACGTGTTGTTATGCGACCTGATGGCACAGCCGTAACTCGTGCCGGCTGTGCAAATATTATACGTGCACCATCTCTATTATGACCAACAACTGTTTAAGAAAATAAGACTGCAATAACAAATATTTAACTATTAGTGTGACCACACGTTGCTAGGGATAATATCCGTAGAGTAGCGTTGCCAGACAGTTTGATGATGATGAGCACGGCAGCTGAATTCTGAATTATTTAGAATATTATATTATTATTTAAATATTATAACAAATTATTATAATCTAACACATTTTGTATTTTTGCTTTAAAAAATCTAACTGAACTCCGATTAATTTACAATTCTAAAATTCGGAACTAAAAGTTGGAGAATTCGTGTGAACCAGTGAACTAGTTCTGAACCTGCAATGCAACTCTACGAAGCTGTACTTTTCCCGTTTTGCATTCTTTGTCAGAAGCTGTAAGAAAAGTAGTAGTTTTGCTACAATAATCTCATAAAAGCAAACTGTAGAGAGCAGATAAATAATTTAAAGCGTGCAACTAAATGTATCAAGCAACCATATCAATCAGTGAATGCGTAAATACTTGAAAAAATATTAAAATCGATTCAGCGCACAATCGCCATTGAACAACGCAATAAAAGAAATATAAGGACAACTTAAATGTAAGTAAACCATAAAATATGAATTTAAGTATTTAGCTTATGCATTTATTATAAAAACCATCAGGAATGTAGAGGATCCATGTGTGTATCTAAGAAGTATTGACTCATATTCTTTTCTTGTTTTTGTTGTTGTGGCAACTGTGTGTATAATTAGAATACACTCAACCATTACATATACGTGAACTCATTTCTAAATATATATTGGTATGCGTGTGTCTGCAAGAAAGAGTAGCGAATGAAATGAATGGTCCAGAATAATACTCAAAACACATGCATACCATGTATGCTGTACATAGATACAAAACAGTGTTGTGCAACGATAGCAGATGAGTGCAGATACAGATACATCAGGATGAGTGGAGGCTGTTCCTCTATTGCATAAAATCTTGTCTGGAAAATCCCAGATTGATGCATATTATATGATTGATATTGATGCATATTATATGTAATATAAACATCTTATCTATCTATGCTTGAACATCTGCAGGGAAATTAGCAAACGATTTTATTGCACGAATTTACATTTGACAGCTGTGCAGCTTAATTTTGATCTTTAAGGGTTGTTAGTCCTAGCCTTTATGGTGTCACAATTTTCCAGCAGCTGCAATTCGTCTACCTGTTTGCACTTTATTTGATTACCTGAAATGCAGTTTGAAGCGTATAAAACTGAGTCGTGTTTGTGTCTTTCCTTACAGTTGCGAACAAAGGTTCAACCTACGCACACACACAATTTAATTGTGATCAAAGTCTAAGGCAAACGGAGAACGGAAAATAAAAGAAGAACACCCAAGTAACGAGAATCACTTGTGAAAGACAAATACAGTCTATAAATGGTGCAGACTGGAATATCGCTGAATGAGCGCTTCACTCAAATACAATCTCGCCAGCGACAGCCGTCGGTTGGCGGGCAACGGGAACGCGGAAGTCGTAGTCGCTCACGGAGTCGCAGTCGCCGGATTGTGGATGCAGCAGCATCGGCGGCCAATTCGCGGTTGCTGCAGGAGTTTAAACGGAAGCACACCGTTCAGGCGGCCCTCAAACTGAAGCGCGTATGTGTCCAAAACAAAACAAAAAAACTAAACAAAAGACAAGCAATACAACAACCAACCTCGATAAGTACTCTGGGATTGAGGAGCTGACTGAACAATTGACAAACGCAAGCGATTGAGTATAATCCGTGACGTTCTCATTGGCTGGTCAAGGGCACGAATGGCAGAGAGCAGCAAATGAGCAGATGAGCGCCAGCAGAGGATATGGGCACATTGCTCCATAGAGCACATGCCGCATTCAGCCAGATTTCACAGCTAGCGCACGCCCGTTATACTGACTAGCCAAGTCCGGTTCAGCCAGGCCCTGCCCAGAGCAGGCAAGATTAACCCAGAAGTAGTCTTCAATATAAATAATCCACTTGTAGTAGACATCTATTGAATTCACACACACTGAACCGCAACCGCTTGAGCAGCGTCAAGTCGCATTCAGTTTGTTAAACGCAAAAAACAAAAACAACCCATCACAAACCTTATGCATCTTACAGAGAAGCCTGCGGACAACTGCTGGCGGCATCAAAGCGCTCCGTCAGGGGCCCATCGGAAGACCCGTGCGCACCAGCAACGGCACTCGCCTGGCAACGTAAGCATCCCCAACTAAAAAACCAAGCACACTTGTAGCTGCGCTTGACTCAGTCAAGACGGAAGATTGCTTGCGAGCAGCTTTTGAATGAAAGCGCCAAGTGCTACAACAACAACTACTACAACAACAACATTGTAAAACACATCTACTTTCTGCTTATTCCGCCTCTACAACTTCAATCACATATAAATAGCATGCGCGCAGATCTGATTGCCAACAATGGACGCGCACGCCGCAGCAGCAGCATTAGTGCCCGACGATCCAGCTCCGCGGCTGGAGGACTTCGCCAGCGCCTGGGCCTAAGCCGACCCACTGTCGGTGGTGCAGCGGAGCGTGTGGCTCAACGTCGACGCGCTTTGGCGCGACAACAGCCGCAGCAGCGTGGCCGTTCACGCAGTCGTGGACGCGCTCGTTCGCAGAGTCGCGGACGCGATCAGAGCCGGGCTCGTTCCCAAAGTGTCAGCCGTTCTCAGAGTCGCGGACGCCGCGGTCAGCAACCGGCTAACGGTGGCAGAGGTGCTGGCGGTGGCGGTGGCGGCGGACGTGCTGCGGCTCGTGTTTCAGTGAAGCAGCGCCTGGGCGTTCGTGCGGGCGGGGCAGCAGCAGCCGGAGGAAAAGGAGCAGGCAGCAAACGACGTGGCAGTCGTCGGGCGAACAGCAAATTGCGAGGCGTCGCTGCCGGACGCATTGAGAAGCGTCGCAATTCGAACGCTGCACAAAAGACGGTGGCGGCTGCAGCCACTGGGCGCGGACGCAAAGGACGTGCACGGGGAAAGTAAGTTGCAAAGCTTCCATTTATTGTATACCCTATATTAATGTTAAATTTGTGTTGTAGATCTGCTCTACGTGCCGCTACTACTGCTGTTAATGCTGCTACTGCTGCCACGCATCGCTCGCGCTCACGCTCAAGATCTCGGGCACGACAGGGTAATGCTGCTGCTGGCACTGCTGCTCCATCCAATGGACGACAAAAAGGTGCTGGCGCTGCTGGCGCTCGGCGCCGTGGACGCAGCTCACAGCGCGCAGGTGGCAAAATTGCCAAGGGTGTCAATAAAAATGGTAACAAGAAGAAGGCCAACAAGAGCACAGAAGGTGGCAAGGCAAACCAGCAACAGACGGGTCGTCGCGGACGTAGTCGTGGTCGTGGTGGTCGCACGGTTGCAGGTAAAAGCGTTACAAGCATGGCTCACTGCACGGACATCAGGCTGGACGGGAGCGCATAGCGACTTAACATGGAATATCCTCTACTTCCGCTTTAAAAAGTGCTATAATTAATCTAAGCTCTTTTTTCTTGGTTATTTTCAACATAGGTAAGCCGCAGCGTGCCGAGGTGAAGCGCGAGGATCTGGACAAAGAACTGGATCAGTACATGTCAACCACAAAATCAGAAATGGACTTTTTGCTTAAGTAGAGCGCAAAGCACGACGATCAAGAAGAATTACCACCGCAAGGCAGTTTTTACTAATTCTTAAGTTGTGTCTATAATACTAATTAGCTGTAAGCGTCACATACAACAATTCTCACCGCACGAAATGGTGTACTTATGCTCACTAGCTCTCTAGCTAAGGAGGTACTCTGTAAATAGCATATTGTATAAGTAAATGTCTCTGTTTGCATAATTACAATCGAAATGTTTGTATTATGTGCAGCTAAATACAATTGACTCCTTGTTTAAACTAAATTCTATATTGTGTATATTTTTGTGTGATATTTGTTCAGCAGCATCGCCTTATTCCAGACTAAATAAGCCTTCTGGCTAAAATGCCGGAAATTAACTTTTGGGCGACTCTGTTTACTTGTGTTTGGTCAGCGTGCGAGCAAATAAAGTGGGCAAAAAAAAAAAGTAATCCAAACTCTGTTCTGGCCATCCCTCATGGCGTTGGAAGATAAATGTATTTATTTGCTGTCGATGCTTTTTCCCTTTTCGTGGCTTGCTCTACTCTGTACTGTGAATGGGTATATTTGTTCGTATTGTAGGTCGCATCAGTTAGTTAAGGGTGTATGAAATAAATTACTATAAAATTAAGTTAAATATTATTACTATGAATAATAAATATATTTTAAAAATATAGATATATAGTATGGCATCAACCTTAATATAAAATGAAAGTGAAATGTACTTACGTTTTAGTGTAACAAAAAGTTGTTGTTTGAAGTTCTGTATTAAATTTGGAATAAATATTAATTTAGTTAAGTGGACTAGTTAAAGGACTTAAGGAGAGAAAAAAATGTTTAAATGTAAATCCTTATTCTACTAAATATTCTCTTTAAGTTGCTATAGGGCATGGCTCTAGCTACTACAACATCTTTGCCACTCAGGTTGATTTTCTTTTAGCGTTTTCTCCTTTGCTTTTCAGGATTCTAGTTCTATCTGCTAAGCGATTATTTTTAATTTCTGTGATTGATTGCCCAGGTGGCAGGCACCGGGAGAGCGTAAAGCAAGACTCTGTGCGGAATGAGTCGAAGCTAACAAGGTGTTGACACAGATTTGTTTGAGCAGGGCTGCCGCAGCAGATGGGGGTTTGTCGTTTTAATTAAATTCCATCCGTGTGCGTTCGCTGCCTGAAGCATCTGACTCGGATAGTTGCGGCAACATTGTGGCTGTCAGGTGCCAATTCATTAAGCTGCACCACTCGCTCAATCAGCCTGTCGGCCACTAAGTAGCGAAACATGTTTCGGCAACCATCAACGGCAATGGATGGATATTTGGGCTGCTGCTGCTCAATGCGATTAACTGACATCAATAAGCCGTGGCTGTAACTAATCATCAGCAGCCACAGCTTCCACGAGATCCCCAGCCGGCTAATTAACACAAAATGACCATTTGTTGCGCCTCCTAATTGCTGAGAATGGCACGGAATACGCTCCACAATGCGTGCTCGAGCGGAAGTTATCGCCCACGTGGGACGCTCCTCATTAACCCCTTTTTCCGGTCAGTCAGCTGCTTCAAGCATTAAACAATTCAACAATTTATGAGCAATTAGTAAATGTTGCCGGCCGACACGTTGTTCCATAATTACGGAATTCAATTTATGGGCACACCTTTTGGGCACCTTCCAAAAAGGACCGCCAACAGCCAACAATGTTGCTAATGATGTTGCCAAGAAAGAAAAATGAAAACGACATTAGGCTGAGCTCCCCTAATGCTCAGCCGAGAGCGCTGCTGACAATGTTATTCAATTAATTAGAAACAAAACGAAAACTACAAAATGTGTGTGGTTTTATTTTTTATTTTTGGAAATTTGAAAATAATTAAGCAACTGTAATATGTCGGCTCTAAAGTAAAAGAAATACTAAATAAATAAATAAATAAATAAATAAATATATATATATATATATATATATATTTTTTTTTTTTTTTTTTTTGATTTGAAAATTATTATGTATTTTAAAAATAAAATGTAAAAAATTGTTGCTTTGAAATATAATATTCTTTCCTTTATATGAATTTATTAAATGAATTTGTTTCAGGCCAACCATTCGATGGGATTTTCATATTTGGAAATACTTAGGATGCTCGGCTTTTGCCAGGATGTCAAGACTTCAACTTATCAGCCCGGCGAATGTCGTAATACCTGCTGGCTTAGGAGCGCGTAAGTTGGCCATCAGGTGCCAAGTTGTGTGGGAAAGCAACAGAGAAACCAATTTGCCTAATCTCCACAGCAAAAATGGCTTGTGGCCTAAAAAGCGACAGCCACTCCGTTAGCAGGTGAAAAAGGCAAAGCTTTAGGCAAATTTCGAGTCCATTTTGTGTTCTGCGGATTACACGCGAAATGCTTGAGCAGTAATCAAGAGCCTGTGGCCTTAATCTCCCTGAAGCTGTACTTATTGCGTTAGACCTGAGCACAAAATATCACATTTCCTTTTAGAGAGCCACCCATGGCTAATTGCTGAAATGATGGTCAACAGCTTCGACAGCTGCTTTAATCAATTACATGCATGACTGCAGTTGAGCCAGCCTCATTTGCGGTGTCAGCAAACACGCGCAGTGCGAGAAAAGACAACAAAAATAAAATCAACAACAATTGCCAGCTGTTGACCATCCCAACCCATCCCATTCCAATCCGTCACAATACATAATATCATATCTCAACACATTAAACGTGGGTTGGCTTTTCATGAGGAAAGCAAACAGAACCCACACTCTAATCCAGCTCAATCAGCGCTTATGTTAGAGTAGGGCAACAACAAGATTTTTCTTTCCTTTATCAGTTTCTGATAAGAAATACGTTTACATTAAATAAAAGTATATGAAATTGAAAACAATGTGTAATGCATTAAATTTAAAATTTAAAATGAGAATTTTTAGCTCGAAGTAAAAGTATAAATATATACTAAACTATAATTTATAATATATAAATGTATTATTCATTTTTAATAAATAATTGTAGAGATATTGTAAGACTCATTTAGGTAATATTATGATACTGTATTATAATATATGCCTAAAAAAATCAATTGGGAAATAAATGGCAAATCGAATGTGAGCGAAATGACATCGCGAATGGCATTTGGATTTTATTCACGCTTTGCTCGCCCGACACAAAGCTAATGAAGCGTCAAAGTGTCGAAAGGCAATTCCCTGCACAAATGTGTGTGAGTCTGTGTGTGTTTGTGTGCGAGTGTGTCACATAATAAATAAGCCAAATCCGGCAGGTAATGAGGTCTTTCTTATGAAAATGTGCATGTGCTAACAATTGAGCGATCAGCGCTTGTTTCCTCTGTGATTTGTGCTCTGCGTATTGTGTTTATATTTATGCGGCATTGTTTGGAAATGCAAATGCTGAGCTGTTCAATTTCGAAAGAAGCTCGCCGATTCGAAGGTGTTGCCAAATGCTAAAAAAGTTATTCCCAGCGCCGCCATTAGCCAAGGCCAAGGCAAATCAACTGCATGGCAACTGAGGACGAGGGGGACGAAGGTCTGAGCGAATGCCGGCGGGGCAATCAATTTCACGCTTCTACACATTTCCTTCACCCACACACACAAACACACACACACACACACACACACACACACACACATTCACACATGTCTACTTTTCACTTTGCCTTGTTCTCTCTTTCGTCTTCGCCTTTTTTGTAAACTGCTGCTGCCCGTACAATATAATTGTCTCGAAGCTCACTCTTCTTCTGCTTCGTCGTCTTCACCTTCTTCTTCGTGTTGTTTTCGCCGACTGACGCCATTTTGTCGTGCACTTTGTGGCTGGCGTCGCGACGCGTTGCTTTAGCGCTTAGTCAACAGCTCAGCGCCCTACGAGATATGCAACAGAAGTTGTTCATTACTGCAACACCTCGTGGTGGTTACTTAGCGTGTGCGTCGCGCAGCTACTGGAGCTATCAATGTGAACAATTTTTGGTACAGTGCCTTTCCATTTAATGGTGTTGAGCAAAAGAAAAGACTTTCAATTCTCCGATCATAAAAGCACTTGAATTGCATTAAGCTCATGGCAATAATGCAATTTTCGTGGCACGCACGCACAGTATACGCACGAGGGCCCAGACATTTCGCTTCGTCCTGCTGCAGGATGCACCAAGGCACAATAGCAAAAGTATCAAAGACGATTGCAATGCCATCGGCAGGCGGAAACTGTTTGCTGTCGAGCTGCAAAGTAATCGACAAAGACAGAGCTGTCAGATGTGGGCGGCTCGCATGTGTCTCTTTGACATAGAGCACTTAAGTCTACCTAACAATAGCAGATCTTGATTAGATGTGCCTTGAGCGTGACACATGATGTGGCTCTGCCAAGTCAGCGTTTATTTCACTTTGAAGCTACCAGAGTAAAGTTCAGGCAACGAACGATAAACGACAGTGAGTAGTGCGTCGCTGTTGGAAGTCTAACAAATCACTCGAAAGAGAATATTTATTGCTCAAAGAGAATATTTGAATGTCAGCTAATAATATTTCTTATTGCACAAAAACTTAAATTGCAGCTTAAATGTATATTTAAATGTATTAATACATTGAAAATTCAGTCTGGAACTAAGTTTTTTATTTTTTATTTATTTATTTATTTGATTTTTTAAATAATTTTTATTGCGGATTTTGTCCTTAACTATACAGAGCATTTTTCAATAAACCTTACTATTGGAGTGGCTAAATGGCTTTATTGCTGCTAATTCTAGTCTTTCAATTTAACTCTCTTCTGCGATCTTTTCTTCTGTTTAATATGTTGGCTGCCACTAAGTAAACTAAATACAGGGTATTATGGCATCTTTACTTATTATCGTACTCAATTGCATCTTCATTTGACGCCAAAGAAAACAAAGACAGCCCCCAACTTCTTTTGACAAGGTTTGCCACTTAACTTAAATAAAAACACAGTTCCATTTGAGAATTTAGAAACAAGGAATCTTTTAGATAGGTATATATTTTTTATTAACATCTTTGCCATTTATACACACATACATATATTTAAGTTTTTTATCATGTTATCTTACATGTACGAAATAGTGTTCAGAGAGCTCATCATTGCAAAAACATAAATTATAAAAGCAAAGTGTTTGCCTAGGCGCTGGAATAGTTCCCCGTGGGGTGAAATTCTTGAGATTATCGAAATTACAATAAGCTTTAGCGCTTAAATAGGTCAAATGGCTAACAAACGCTGCTACGGATAATAACATTTACAACATTGCAATTGAGCCCAATATTCACTAATACTATATTATTATTATAGGGCTTGCGAAATATACATATGCATATGTTATATACATACATATATACATTTAGTAAGTACAGTTGACGTATGGCTATAATATGATAGAGTGAAATATGACAGGTACAGTTTAATCTAGATAATACGCGCAATGTCTCGCCTGATCTTATGTCGCCTGATGATATGATAGAGTTTAGTAAATAGTTTCACATGCTTTTCTTCTTCTATGCACTGAAATGTCCAGCTGCTGTCTAGTTTGGAAAGTACAGCTTGAAGCAAAGCCAGACGAACTGGCTATCGATTTCGTCACGTCCTTATAATTTTAATGTCGCCATTTGTAGGTACAGTTGCCACTGGTACAGTTAGTTGTCAACTGTTTGTGGCTTTAATTTGAATGAATCTCCCTGTAGTTTCTATTCGTTTTTGTGCTTAAATTAAAGTCTATGTATGCTCTATGGTTACCATCTGCTGTCGTTCTGTTCTGTCGTTTTCTCAATTTATCTTTGGTATGTGCGTCCTAATTCCTCTTTATTGACAGTTTTGTTAAAAATCAACACGTGTTTTGTATTTGAAGTTTCTGCAGTACATTTATCCGGTTATTTATACTGTCTTCTTCTGGCTTATATACTTGATTTGAGTAAACATTAAACACCCTGTATTTCACGGTGCACATTAAGTTCGCTTTGCTATGAATGGGATTCATTGTGTGCCATTCTTAGCTCTGTTCTTTGTGGGTACAGTTGCCATATTCATCATTAGTCGTCAACTATGTATGTTTGGTTTTGTTTTAAATGAATCTCCCTGTATTTTCGTATACCCTGAACCCATTGAAAATGAGAAATCAGGGTATTTTCTTATTTGTATTTGTATTTGATTTTATGCTTAAAAGAAACTTGGATTATTTTCTACGGTTACCGTCTGCTGTCATTCTTTTTGACATTGAGACCTCATTCTCATTTAGACATTGAGACACATTTATTTTGAGTAACTCAACTCGTATTTCATATATTTTAATTAGAGTAAAACATTCATCCGGTTATTTATAGTGACTTTTCTTAGTTTCATATGTTACTTGTAGTTTATTTTTGGTACAATCAATACACTCAATATAAGTTACCAGCTGCGTTAGCTCGGTATGGTCTTTGGGTCTTTGATGGGAAGAGTTCATCTGAGGTTAGCGGGTATGAATGAAGCAGCAGCTTTCGACTATTTTGAGAAGTATCTTTTACAGTTTACCGGAATATGGCTGTTGCTTTCGTCTGGCTGCAGATTCCTAATTATCCGACATGTATTTTTGCTGCTTGAAGGAATCTCCCTGTAGTTTATAATTGATTGTATGCTTAAAATAAACTTGGAATACTTTTTTTTTGATTCCATCTGCTGTCGCTCAATTCTATCGTTCTTTAGGATTATCTTTGACATTTAGTTTATCACTCCTAGTTCGATAATTAGACGTACATATATGTATTTAGAAAATTTCATTTTTTATTCTTGATTTGGTTTACTCAATGCATTTATGCGGTCTTTACCTATTTCGAATAGCATTTGCCCTGTTCAGGTAATACATTCAATTTAATTTACGCGGTTCCGTTTAGCACTTATATTTTTGATTTGTTTTTGTACTTAATTTGTATTTTGAATGAAACACCCTGTATTTCACGGCTTTGCAATATACGTTCGATTTGGAATGAGTCATCATTTTGATTTTTTGTTTCGGTGTAATTTGCTTCCATATTTGATTTGATTTAAAATGAAACATCCTACATTTCACGTTTTTAATCTCGATATGTTATGAATGGATTTCATTTTGAACCTTTTCAAGTGCGATTTCGGTACGGTATAGTTGACCATATTTATTTGATTATCAATGAGTTACCAATTTCATTTTCTGTTTCAATTTCTCGCTGTTTTCTTTGATTTGATTTTATCTTGTCTCTTTCAAGTTGAGATTTGTGTTGCCACAGTAAAAAGTTTGTCATTACAGGATTTGCTTTTGAAGGAGTCACCCTGTAGATAACATTTGACTATGTGTTTGCTATTAAATGGTAGTATTTGGCTATCAATTCAATCTTGATTTGGAATGGGTCACCCTGTAATATTATCTTGATTTTCATTTGGCTTTCAGCTTAAAGTACATGTTGAAGCTGTCTGATTATTCGATTCATCGCCAATTCGCCCCACCGACCATTCGTTGGTAGTTTGCTTGTACTTTCTTAACAACATAGCCCATAAATTCGTGTTTGACTCTCTGAACGCAAGTGACCGAACGCTCTGCTTAGCGCTCGTCTTCGTTGATTGTATAACTGCTCCGGAACTCACTCAGCGGCGTCGCATTCGTCGTGGATGGCGTCATTAGTGGTGCGCCCTGAAACGAGATGGCCAGCGGCAGGGCTGAGGGGGCGCACAGACTCAAGGCGCTGCGCCCTTCGGTCACGGAGCGATACCGTAGCGGGCGGCCCGAGCTGCAATAAAATGTGAATGCGAAGTGCAAAATATGAACATTTTTTTCCCCATTTCATTATCTACCAAGTTCATGTAAACACTTGGGCAAAACCTTAATTGGTTTCCAAATATGCAGATTTTTTATTTATTCAATTCATAGCCAAGGCTTCTCATACTCTGAAAATGTCTGAGTGTCACATGCGATCCCACATAAAATACATAGTTATACCAGTTAATGAATATACAAATATATCAGAGCAACAAACTTTACCTATATGCCTATATCTGCTGTTCAGTTTCTCTTTCTAAATTGTAGCGTAGCTTTCGGATACTATAAAGGCAAAAGCATTGCAATTGCTGGAACGGACTTCACTAGTATAATTGCCCTTTCTTATAAGTATAATAATTATTGACAATAAACAAATTTCAATACTCTGAATTGATGTTGTCTTTGTGAAGAGAAAACTCGAAGAAAAGTTATATCAAATTTCTAATCTATGCATATTAAGCCAAGCTTGGGATGCAAAATGGTATAGATCTGCTCGTCAAGTATACATAAACATACCTACATCTAAACGATTTTTCTCTTCTGCTTGGCCAAAAAAATATATTTAAAATATTTATATAAACTTCAATTTGCATAGGTATATGGATGTAGGGTATAGACGCGTTAGGCATTCCCTAATAGTGCATTTTGCATGTTTTTTCAATGGCATATCTTTAAAGTTAGTTAATCAGTCGGAACTTTTTCTTGCAAAAATGTTTCGTCTGTCTTGTGAAAGTTGAAACGACGCGTCGTTAACAAGTTTGTCCTGTAATTTATTTTTACTTCGATCTCTTTCGTTAAGCATCTACAAAAGTTGTCAAATTCGCGCCCGTATGACGGACATAAAATTTCTGCTCTGTTTATGGGACATATTATCAGTTAATCTAAACAGTCTTTGCTGTTTCTGAAGTGCACAACTGCAAATGGGTAAAATAGCGGTAAATTAAATAAAAAAGTAAACAAAAGTTATATATAAAAGGTTAGTCAACAGTAATATGCATGTCGACAGCTTCTTATTTCGAGCAGATTATATATGAAAACTTCAGTTGTTTTATTTACCGCTAGGCTCAGGAACTATAATTGCTTTTAACGCTTGCTGAGCACAATTGAAATTGAATAGGCAAAACTTAAAGGGAATTTGATTAAATACTTTGCGCAAGGAGTTTTGCTCTTTTACGTAACATACATTTTCCATTTCATTTGTAATTTCCCTCAATTTCCTGTCAGTGCAAGACTAATCTCTACTTTGTTTCGCACATTCGTAGTTTCATTTCATTCGCAAAAGTTTGTTGGCGAAAATCAATCATACGTCACGTTGCACCACAATTGCTTGAACAATGAACAACGCATTGCATTGTTTTTTTATTGAGAGGGTAGTGAATCGCACCCCAATAAATTGCATTGCCCATACAACAAATGAAAAGAGATAGATTACTCTATATTTGACGGTTCATTGCTTACCGTTCGCAGTTGCATTTGAGGAGACGGATGAAAGCCGCTCGAAATGTCCGATTGAAGATGGTGTAAATGATCGGGTTGATCGTCGAGGAAACGTAGCCCAGCCAGAGGCAGGTGTTGACCACATGCTCGGGCACTTGGCATTCAGGGCAGGCGGCAAATATGATGTTCAGTATGAAGAACGGCGACCAGCACAGGACGAAGGTGAAGAAGACCAGGCCCAGGACCTTGGTGGCCTTCTGCTCCGTGGCCACCGCATTTGCCGAGAGGCTGTTGCGCTTGGCGCGATTGTTGAGAAATCTGGAGGGAGCAGAAAACCACTTTGGGAATCGAATTATTTGGACAACCCGCACTCACCTCAAGTTCAGCGTGGGCGTGGCAACTCGATTGAATGACAGCTTGAAGGGGAGCAGCTTGTGGCGTCGCGTTGTCGTCACCTGCTGCTGATTCTCATTACCGTTGCCACAGCTATTGCCAGTGCCACCGCCACCGCCACCGCCTCCACTGTGTGTCTGAATGGTGGTTAAGTTCTTTCTGCTTGGGCCACCGTCGCCAGCGCTTCCAGCGCTTATGCAGCTGCTTGCCGCAACTGTTGCTCCGCCAGGCACGTTGGCTCCGCCACCTGGTTCCTGTCCTCCATTTCCATTTGTCGCGTAACCCAATTGTGGCTGCGAGACACTGCCGCGCAACGAGGCCCGTCGATTCGGATGACTGTCAAATGGTTAGGGGTTTGGGTTTGGTAAGTAAAAGCCACTTGACGTATTTAAATAGTATTTCCGCGCTGCCTTGCAGCAACGAGTGTTTGATATTAGATTTTGGCCCTTTGCACGCCAAGGCAGGGCGCAACAGTTTATAAAATTGTATTTTAATAAAATCTCGCCAGGCTTTTCACGGGCTTATTTGATGCAAGAATCTGATTCTTTAGCCAGACTTTAATGTGAACTCATTTACTTTAACTAAATGAATTAGGCCAGCTATCAATTTCGCATATAAGAAATGAGCCGAATGGTTGCTGTTTGAAATCTAAAGAGTCTCTCATATTTAGGCTTTAACGACTATTAAATGGGATTTAAGTGTACAGAAAAATTCAATTACAGCTTTAAGAGGGTAAACGAGTGTGTAGAGATAGCGGCAGAATAACAAAAAACACTGACATAAATAATATGGATAACTTAAAGCAGGGTAGAGGGCTCTACTGCCTGTGCCCAAAAAGATATAGCTCATTAATTGTTCATATGCCATCAGGGAGAATTCCTATATATCGGAATGCATATATAGAATGCATACCTCTCTTTATTTATCATCAGCAAACCAATCGAGTAGAGGGATGCGACATAAGCTCCAGTGAATTACGATCCAATTACACGACTATAAGTCATCGCCTTATGGAGCAACTCGAATGACTTCAGTTAAATATAGATTTAAAGAGATTTAATTTAATTTAAATTGAGACACTCTCGTTGTGAGCTATAATAAGAATCATCATTTCACTTGTCACTTTCAATAGGCCTAGGTATAAGAAATGAAATATTAAGAATCAACTCGACACATCTTTATCGGGTCTGGAATGCTTAGTTAGCTTGGCCTACAGATTTATACAAAATGAATTTAAAGTGATGACCCACTTTTTCATCTTGTAGAAGAGAGATTTGATTCATTCATTTCCGATTCAGATTCAAGAAATTTCCAAAAGAGAAACTTTCTTGTATGCAGATGAGTTTAATGATATTTTAGCTAAGTGCTCCAAACAACAATGTAGAAGTTATGCGAAATATTAAGAGTTGACCATGGCATACCATTTTCAGTTGGTCCCAAATTCATAGCCAACTTGTTGTGCAGTTTGTGTAACCATCTTGTTCCCCAGGCAGCCACATTTTTGGCCAGTTTGGCAGTTGGCAAATATTCGGAAGCACTTTGCGTCTGTTGCAGTACGGCAAGTAAAATAAAAAGTTTTTCAATTTTTTGGCCGGCGACAAGCAGCAGGTCTGAATGGGCGCCCAAGCGGCGTCAAATGTCCAACTAATAATTTGCAAGTAAATGGAAAATAAGAAAGTTTGTTTCGCACGTTTGTTGCGCTACCTGGGTAGCTGCCAGGTAACTTTTTGGGCCTGCCTCATTAGAAATTCATATATATTTATTCGTCAACTTGCGCAACACAAATCCATTGCAAAGCGCATATACGTGACATTTTACTGAGCTGGCATTATGCGCAGTACTCTGCTTTTTAAGGGGATTTAAGTTCTGTCTGCAAATATGTAACGTTTGAAAGGAGACTTTATTTAATAGAAATTCTTCATTGTTTTCTTTACTGTATTTACTAATTTTTTACATAATTACTATTTAATTATATTATAAATAAATAAATATTTAATTATATTATAGGCAGCAGTTTATTTTGCCAGATCATATTTTTTCACCTTTCTGGCTACAATATCGTATTAGTATATGAGTCTTATTCGTCTGTGAGAGGATTCGTTAGCCGTATATTCCCACTTTTATTTGTTTCATTTTTGGGACGTGCTTAAGTCACGGCGTAGCTCTAACTTGCTGCAGCTTTTCTCTGCTGGTTATGCTAAAATTTTGCGAATTTTTCGCCTTTGCATTAATGCAGAAAAAAAGAAGAAAACAAATGAAAACAACAGCAACGAATGCTGCAGCAAATAGCAATGACATTTGCAAATTTCAGTGCCATTGTGGATGCGGAGAGGGGGCAAGAACCTTTTGCAGCTATCCGAGGGCAACATAGTCGCCAGCGACGTTTGAGAAGTTGCACCGCCGTCATCTCGTGCTGTGGCTGCGACTGTAACTGTGACTGTGACTGTGGCTGAGGTTGTCCTCTTTGCGGTTTCTCTTGCCATTTTATGCGCTATTTATTGTTGCCGCAGCAGCAGCATCAAGAAGAAGGAGCAGCAGCGACATCTCCTTTTCTCCTTCACACAACAATGTGGCAAGTGGCCCGCCGACCGACAAGCAGATTCGTGTTTTTGTGTTTTTGGTGCTGCACCACATGACGCATGAGTGATTTATGTTTATGGCTCGTTGCAAGTGCTTGCAAGGAAATTATGTATCCGCCATGTTGTGTGACACTTGAATATGAATTTAATTGCAAAAAGATGCGTAATTGATTGCTATGTTGCATCCAAGTAGCTGAAGAGGAATTGACAGAATAAATAATATATAAATATATTAAGCAAATCATACTAAAATGCGAAAGTCTTGAGCACGAATTATTAATCAGATATATTTATAGTTAATATATATCGTAAATCAAGAAATACAATTTTTAGATATATATATATATATATATATATATATATATATATATACTCGAACACTATTATTGATTAGATGTTAATAGGATCGCCCAAAACTTGTTGCGGATAAAAAACGACCAAATAAAAATTCATGAATGGCTATAAAGCTCTATAAATAAATTGAGCATATGTTTCCAATATGAAAATATTTATCTGTCTCTGTTTCAAAAAAGAATTATTGAATAAATATATTTATAGTTAATATATAACATAAATCATGTAATAAAATTTGTGTATGAAAATAATATATATATGCTAGCACTATCTTTAAATATATATTTTATATACGCGTATATATAATTTAGTCAAATTTGAGTGCAGCAGAATAAGTAAATTAATTTCTGAATCAACAATGTGTAGAGCATGCCCTCAGTTGATTAGATGTTATTTTGTTCAAAAGTCGAGCCCCCTTTACAGCATTTGAAGTCCATGTTTACTTGATGTGTACCGAAAGTAAACAAATGAAAATCCTTTCAGACGCGATTTGCCCAAAACTTGTTGCCGATAAAAAAGCCGAAATAAAAAATTCATGAATTGCTAAAACTGGGACGCGTCGAGGTCTAAATACTCTTTTTACATACCGTTTTCCATTTGTCTAGTAAATAAATTTCGAGCAAAATATATGCAAAGCTATTAAAAGTCTTGTTATAGTATATATGTATATAGTATAGTTATAGTAATCGACATCAAGTGAAATTTTGACATTTATCAATAATGTATGTCTTACTTGACTCATGTCAAATACCCTTCGGCGCAGAGCATTGACAATGTATTTGCAGGAAAAAGGCAACTATGTGGTAAGAGGCGGAGGGGTGTTGAGTCGGAAGGCAAAGCCAAATAAAACTCAATTTGTTTTTGTTATTTGTCTCAGCCTCGCATCCAGCTCGAACCTGAAGCGGAGCAAGGCAAAACAAAGCAAAGCCAAAACGCTTTGCACTTACAATGTAAATTATGCAAATTTCTTAGAAAAGTAGTCTGAAAAGTTGTTTGCTGGCTGTGTGGAGCCGTGTAAACAAATGTAATAAATTTAAGAGCTTGTATGCTCAACTGATAATAAATGTCTGCCGAGTCCCAGCTCAGCTCGAAGTTCCTCAACAGCGTGATTTCGACACAATTTGCCAAAAGGTGAGACTCACAAGAAAAGGTACAAATGTCACGGGTCATGTTGTGGGTTGGGCAAATGCCACGATTGCCATCTCTCTTAATGAGCAATCAAGTACAGTATGACATCAATTTCAAGGACTACCTGCTAAGGCCCCCTAATACTCCAAATCCTTTGCCAACAGAGTTAGCCTTCAGTCCATTTAGAGAAAGTTCCTGTCACACAAAGTCCTTCGAAAATTGAGGGCTCATAAATTAATGGTTAGGCTGTGCCTCAGTTGACTAATTGCAAATATCCCAAGCTGGACCAGGCACACAATTTACTTTTCACAACTGACAATTTAATTAAGCCAGATGCAATTTGAGGCCGTTTTGCGTCATTTGAATGCAGATTGGCTAACATTGCAGCTAATGAAAGTTTTGAGTGGGCCACTCACCTGTCCAGGAGATAGGGACTGCCGGCAGCACCACGCTTCCGCCAGAAGCTACTGGTCGGTGCCTTGCCACGCGTCGAGAATGATGTGGACGAGATCGTTGTCGGTGGGGTGGACGATTGCCGCAAGATGCCACTGCCAGCAAGTCGGAAGTTAGTCCGTCCCGTATTATGCAGATTACCGCTATTGCTGTTGCTGTTGCTGTTGCTGCTGCCGCCGTCGCAGCCGCCTCCATTGGCCACGTTGCGAAAGCTGACGCTGGGGACACTTCGATTGGATGTGGCTCGCTGATGCATCAATGGTCGCTCGGAGCAGTCAATATTGCTGCCACCTCCGCCTGCACTGGTGCACCTTGTCCTTGACGCCACGCCCATACCCATTCCGGTCTCAGCATTGTTAACATTGCGACTGCTGCCACCCATCGCCAGACACTTGTTGTTGCTGTAAGTGCTCCTGGTGAGACTGCCGTGCATCTGCATCTGTTGCTGGCCGTGCTGTGGGCGTATGGTGAAGCGCCCGCCCAACCTATTCAAATAGAGTGAGTTAGATGCAAAAGAGGAATGGAGCTGATGTGTATTCTATGGCTTGATTGCGCTGCTTCCCTCCTATTGACTCAGAGCTAATTTACTTTCACGTTGCTTTGATTGGCAGTCATCGAGCAAATGCATTAGTTAATCATAAAATGTGACAGGCTCCTCAGGAAAGACGCTTTTCATTTAGATATAGATTGACTTGTGATATTTAATAATATAATTGCCATAATAGAAAATAAAGTATAATAATATAATATAATTATTCATTTGTAGAGGGCTTACATTTGATGCTATGTACATAGATACATATAATATAACTGCAACAGCAATATTATTTGAAGAACTGTAAATTAAAATCTTCAGCCCCAATAGACACAAAAATAAATCACATTTCAAATCGCTACCGTGACGGCACATTAACCAAACACTAATTGTTCTGCTTTAGCTGGCATTTACGTCTTGGCTTAATTGATTTTTGTGCGAGTGCAAATGAATATTTATTGAAAATGCCTTGGCTCTGTAGCCCCATCCCCCACTCATCCCTCGCCCGGGCGACGTTGGCGAAATCAAAACCCCTTCACAGCACAGCGGTGTGAATTAAGTTTTAGATTCAATTACTCATACGCCACATAGGCCCCGCTGCTTTTCATCCCACATGTGGTAACTAGCCGTGACAGTTGCTCGGCGTCTAGAATCTCGTTTGAAAGCATTTTCATTTGCAAATAATTTATTGGTATCGATTGACAGATAAATCCAATTGCAACTGCTGACCGCTGGCCATTGCCTATTAGTGTCCGGTCAAAGGTGGCACAAATCTGTGCCCTGAAGCCAATCGTGCAGACTAATTGCATTTACTTGTGTGCTGTGCACTGCTGCAGCGCGAGAGCGAATATCAAAGTTTTCAATCCACTTACCGACGGAAGAGTTCGCTCTCCGGATGCTCGGCGGCGAAGCGGGCCTTCTTGCGCAGCAGTGGAATGGTGAGTGCGTATGTCGAGACCATCATCAGCATTGGTATGTAGAACGCCACCAGCGAGCCGAACACAAAGAAGGCTCGATTGTTAATCACACAGACATTCGGTTGAGGCATTATGTTCTTCTCGTTGACCAGACCTGGAATCCATAGGAATTGGCACTCATTAAAGCTCAATATATGTATTATGCAGACCACTGAGAGTCGGACAGTCTGAGAATCAGCCTTACCCAGCACCGTTATTGAGCTGGACACCAGCATGGCCATGGCCCAGACAATGGCTATTTTAATGCCAGCCAGGCGCTTTGTGGAATGATGTCGCGAGCCCAGTGGATTGCGGATGCCCATATACCTGCCCAGACTGATGAAGCACATGTGCAGTATGCTCGAGGAGCAGGCGAGCACATCGCAGGTAACGTACACGTTGCACCACGTGAAGCCGAGTGGCCAGTAGCCTGCAAGGAACGACAAAGGATAACAAACCGCCCAAATGGGACAGATAGATGTGACGGGGATTTTTCCGTCGACTGTTAATGAAAGCGCATGCAAATCAGAGTTAATTGAAATTGGAATGAAGTGAAGACTAAATGAAAGAAAGGGAAAGGAAAATAAAGCAAAGCCAAAGGATTTTAAATGAAAAGGAATTGCTGCGAGCTGTTTGTATCTGTCTGTATCTGTATCTGTATCTGTATCTGTATCTGTATCTGTATCTGTATCTGTATCTGTATCTGTATCTGTATCTGTATCTGTATCTGTATCTGTATCTGTATCTGTATCTGTATCTGTATCTGTATCTGTATCTGTATCTGTATCTGTATCTGTATCTGTATCTGTATCTGTATCTGTATCTGTATCTGTATCTGTATCTGTATCTGTATCTGTATCTGTATCTGTATCTGTATCTGTATCTGTATCTGTATCTGTATCTGTATCTGTATCTGTATCTGTATCTGTATCTGTATCTGTATCTGTATCTGTATCTGTATCTGTATCTGTATCTGTATCTGTATCTGTATCTGTATCTGTATCTGTATCTGTATCTGTATCTGTATCTGTATCTGTATCTGTATCTGTATCTGTATCTGTATCTGTATCTGTATCTGTATCTGTATCTGTATCTGTATCTGTATCTGTATCTGTATCTGTATCTGTATCTGTATCTGTATCTATATCTGTATCTGTATCTGTATCTATATCTATATCTATATCTATATCTATATCTATATCTATATCTATATCTATATCTGTATCTGTATCTGTATCTGTATCTGTATCTGTATCTGTATCTGTATCTGTATCTGTATCTGTATCTGTATCTGTATCTGTATCTGTATCTGTATCTGTATCTGTATCTGTATCTGTATCTGTATCTGTATCTGTATCTGTATCTGTATCTGTATCTGTATCTGTATCTGTATCTGTATCTGTATCTGTATCTGTATCTGTATCTGTATCTGTATCTGTATCTGTATCTGTATCTGTATCTGTATCTGTATCTGTATCTGTATCTGTATCTGTATCTGTATCTGTATCTGTATCTGTATCTGTATCTGTATCTGTATCTGTATCTATATGTGTATCTATTGCTGCACAGATTGGGCTTCTGCCTTCGGCAGAGCAGAATGCTAACTTGTTGACAGTCGGATTAATGCCGTGTGACTTTTAATTAAAAGCTTAAAGTCGCATTCAGGTAGGCAGTAAGCGAAGCAACCTGAATTTGTACGCTCATTTTTCCACTCGTTTGCTATGAAATTTGTGCAGTTCGTTTTCAGCTTTGTATTTAGCCAATGCCCAATGGCAAGCTCTACATTAATTAGTACAAATTGCGCTCAAATGTGTTGTTTTTTTTCATATTCTCCGTAAATGCCATTAGGCGCGCTGCGTGGGTTTCAGCTTGCTAATTGTAGGACACTACCACATATACACACATACAGCATGACACAGACGAGCAGAGAGACAGCCACTCAGCACTCTTAACACACACTCGAACACACCAGAGCGAAGCGACGATGAGAGAGCGGATCCGTACCCACATGTCGTATTTAGTTTTTATATGCCTGTCACTTAAGCACACACATACACACACACAGACACAGACAGACACTCGTGGTAATACATATATAAAAAGCATCAAGTGCTGAAAATGTATTTATTACGTATGCGACATGTTGTCCGGAGCTGGGACTCAAGTGTCTGAAATAAGTATGTATGTAAGTGTAGCACAGCTCTCGGAAGCTTTAGTTAATTGTACGAATATCTGAGTTTACTCTGAATTTCCTTTTGTTATGCAACACTAGCGCATTTTTAGCTATAATGTTTACGTTCACAGAATTCCTTTTAGGTTTCGAGATTTATGTTTAAAGTAAACGCGGGTTGCCTGCAAAAGAGCTGCTTTAAGGGGACATCAAAAAATATATCCATATACGTATTTTATATTAATATAACTTCAATAAAGCTATTTTACAGGCTTGCCTCTTAAAAACTGAGCTCTTTAATTTTAACGAAAGTTCCGACTGCCATATACCATGCATATGTGTATATCTATATGTATATAGATGTGTATGTCATGCATAAGTATGACATTAAACAGCTTGGCTTGTAAAGTTGTGATTGGCTTTTGTGAAAGTTGCGCTGCAGCCTGACTGCATCTGCTAAGGGCATATGCGAGTAACCATCGATGAGCTCAATGGCAGCAGACTTTTATTCATATTCATTTTTTTATACTCTTTATAAGTTGGTTTAATATTTTATCAGGGAGACAGCTGCTTTTGTATTTAGCGAAGCTGACATAAAATCAAAATCATTTTAGTATCGCCAGTGATAAAATTTAGCTTAAACCCAAACTGCCATGCAAACATTGCTTGATGCAGTTTGTAGCGTAATTGTTGGCCCGGCGGCAGTTGCGGGCTGAAACAACATTTAAGGCTGTTGGCAACATTTAGTTTTGCGTTTGCTGTCGTCGTCGTCAACAAACAACTTGAGCGCGAAAACAAAGACCTTGCCCTTTGCTGCAGCTGCAGCAGGAGCAGGCGACGCTGAGGAGCCGTCTCGAACGCGAGGGCCACAATGGGTAATTCGCAAGTGCAGCAGCTGTGGAAAGCTGTTGAATGGCGCAAGACGTGGCAGGGCCACAGTGCCAACCGAAAGTCAACAAACACCAAAGTAAATAATGCCACAAATTAAAGCGCCAACCATGCAGCGTGTAATTAAGGAAAATTTGCCAAAGATTAACTTGAACTTGAGAAAAAGCGCTTAAAATGTGAAAAAAAAAAACACGAACCGAAATCGTGATTTTGTCGATCCAAATGTTACTTAAATACCAACCGTCCTACCGTCTACATAGCTCTGTACGCACGTCAATCAGCTTACATTACAAAAAAGTTAACTTTAAATCATCTAACGAAACGCTCTCTGCAAAGTTTAAAGCCGAATTCAAACTGTTCTACTTGAAGGCGATAGTTTAACCTATCGAGAGTAAATCGAATTTCATTTTACGTATATTGGGTCTTAGTAAAACCTAAAAGCTTTTAGCTTAATGCTGTTTGACACTCTAGAGATTCATATGGGTGATTTATATTTGATTTGTTTTTAAAATGTTGTTTAGAAGCATTGATTGCCCATAGAGTCTATGAAAATCTCTTCACAATTATCAAGAGAGAGGCTTTAACAAGCGTGAATTATGACTTGTTGAGTTGTCTATTCTTGATGAAGATATAGAATTGTCTATTTTGGATTCTTGTCTATCTGCTTAGATAGTCTCATTTGAAGTAATTTCAGCCCGTTCGTTGACGTTTGTAAACAGTGCTTAAAACACAAATTCACAAAATTTTTGACAACCCACTGAAAGGTAGCGACTGCATTAAATTACAGCTGGTGGTCGGAACAACAAATGCGCTTATACTGAAATTAAATTCGCTAATGTTATTTGGTTCACGTCGATGGTTGAGTGCAGTCCACTAAATATATGCTTATATGAAGTCTGGCGTCTGGCCTGTGGCGGCAGCTGGGTATGAGGTTTTGTCTATGGCGCCGTTGGCACCATGTGCGCCCATTACGCGTTTGATCTGTTCATGCTACGTTGAACTCAGTTGCACGGCATCAGCCAGACATTTGTTATCTGTAGCACATGTAAATTAGGTGCGCATTAACTCAAATATTATCAGATTACATAAACCATTTGCATATTCAGTGGCAGTGTGTCAGGTTTTATTAGAGTTGGAAAATTGAAGCGCTACTGCTGATAACTATTTTCAAAGTGTACACAATTAATTCAATAAAAATATAATTCCATTCAAAATACAGAAATATGAATTGATTCTAATTATTCTGGGTTTTTGCCATAAAGAGACTCATCAATGCATTTATTCAAGCTCACAACGAATAATAACAAATATCACATAAGCAAAACAAATAAAATGAATATTTATATAACAGAAATCAGCTCAAAATAAATCATAAAGTGTATTTTGGTGAATCAACATGAATTTTAATAAGAAAAATCCATTTATTCTTAAAGCGACTAAAAGAGATTTTCAATAAATTTTTATTAGTTTAAAGCTCAATAGGAAATGTGATTTGTAATTGCACAAAAATTCCAAAAATAAGTTGATTGGAATGGTACCAAATATTAGCAAATAACTAAGAATCAGACTTTAAAATTTGTTTATTTTAAAATTAATATATATAATTCCATAATCTAAAGAAATATTCTTTAACATTAACCGAATTTATTTCAATTTTATTCATATAGAAAAAAATTCTATTAATATAAATTTCTTTTATCTTATTTAAAAAAATAAAAACTAATTTATATCAAGAGAATATATGTTTATATTGCACTCTTGCTTATCTTTCTTCAAGTTTCTTTGAGCAGACGAGACTTTGAGTAAAATTATTGCTATGCTGCACGACCTTAAAGTTACTTTTTGAATATCTCAAAAATCTAGACTTTCGCTTTGAGCACTTCAAAAGTGTTGGCAAAACTTTCGCTCGATTCTTGGCTGTTGCATTTATTAAAGTTTGTGAACAACGTTAAACACTTACCCAAAAATGCTGGAATCGCGCCCATGGGCATAACAAACAGGCTGACGAGCAGATCGGCTATGGCCAGCGAGAAGAGGAAATAGTTGGTGACATTTTGCAGCTTCCGATCCAGGGCGACGGCCAGGCAGACAAGTATATTGCCCAGACCGCCGGCAAATATGAAGAAGACCACGAATAAGAACAGCCAGTCGTAGCCGTGTGGGGAGTAGTCCAGGAAGCTCCTCGATATGACAATGTCGGCTGCCGCCGTTGTTGTTGTGCTCATTGTTGTGTCGGATATGGTGTAGTTGGACAGTATCATGTCCAAGCTCGTAGTTGAATTGTTGGTGCTGTCGTTGCCGTGGCCCCCGCTGACATTCTCAACCATTTCGCTGAAGTTCAGCCAGGACCACAGGCTATCGCCCAGGTCGATGCGAAAGTTTAGCCAGCTGGTTGCTGTCTGCGGCGTGGTGGGGCGCACAGTTTCCTGCTCGAGCTGCAGCTGACACAGCAGCTCCTCATCCATGGACTCACATAGAAACAACTGTCGATTGCAGTTGCTACTAAAACTAAACGTATCACTCACATTATCACTAACGGTCCCATTGATTTCCAGTTCGAATTGCGCGTACGGCTCGTGCTGCGGCTTCGATAGTTGCGTGTCTAGCATGCATGGCCCTAATACGGCCGCCTCTGCCTCGGACTCCTCGAGCACAGCACTGCACGCATACAACACGTTATCCTCGTCCCTATCGAAGCCCTGCAATGTGCAATGGAATGTTGTGCTACTGCTGATGCTGCTGTTGCTGGTGCTGTTGCTGATGCTGTTGCTGGTGATGCTGGTGATGTTGCTGCTGCTGTTGTAGGAATTATTGCTGTCGCCGTGGGCCGCCTCGCAGCTAATAAATGCCTGCCAGGCTTCGGACTGTGCCGTTTGAGCCACACGACAGCTGAAATCGCGTGACTGCGATGCGAATGTTGCCGTAGCAGTTGTTTCGCCTCTTGGCGCTTCAGGTGTCGGTGTCGCTGTTGCTGCTGCTGCTGTTGTTGGTCCATGACCAGCCTCACCTTGCATCTCCATTTCATTCTAAAGCTGTGTGGCGTGCTTCACAACAACAACTCGTTAAGCTTATGCCTTTGTTGCTGCACTTTCAATTGTTACTGTTGCAACGAAAAAAAAAGAAGAAAAAAACAAATATATATATATGTATATATAAGTACATTTATTACTGTGATCTGTATCTAAATCTATGGAGTATATTATTTGAACATTTACATTCCCCTGTAAAGCTATTTTTAATTAATCGCAAACAGGCGCTTGCAAATTGCCTCTGACACGATTTATTGCAGAAGCCACAGAATGTTCACAGTATTGCTTAATTACGCATCCCGAACGCAAATATCAATGCAATAGAAACGTATATTTGCATAGATGCACACTGACATAAGGGCATTTTAGTTATTAGCCCCATTGTGCCAGGCAATTACTATCCTCAAATATGATACGAAAATAAAAGCAAATAATGAAATTCATCTGCATTTCAATTTATTCAATTCCAGTTTTCTTTTTTTTTTTTCATCAAAATATTTTTCAAAGAGTTCGCCAGCGAGGGTATTTGATGTTGAGCTGCTTTAACAGACTGCCAATTTTTCGCTTTAAATAGTCACTAGTCACCGCATGACGGATTGACATCAGCACTCAATGGACTGCCGCCTCATCACTGCAGATTTCGATGTGCGATGTGAACGAGCTCGGCTTTTGTGTATCACTAGTGGCAACTGTCAGCTTTAGCCATTCGTTAGCCCCCAGTTGCTAGTCGCTAGTCTCTAGTCTCTAGCCGGCCGTTGCCAGGGGCTGCCGCCTGATAATGAGCTCACATATCCTTGACAGCACAATTGGCGACTAGCAGCACAAAGGCTTAATTAAAAATGCACCACGTTGAAGATTTATGCAAATTTTGGAGCCGCTGCCGTCGATGCAGCCCCTCAGCTGCGCTAGCCCCCGCTCTATTTAGTTAACTTAAATTATGCTTAAAGTTTGTCACAGCAATTTCAGCTTTCGCATGCAGCCAAAATATTATACAATTTTTTTGTTAAAACATATATTTTTTTCAAACTATTTCAGGGCGTGTCATGCGGGTGACATTGGACTGCAGCCGCAGGACTGCAGCCAAAAAGCACATTCTGCATGCAAGTGATTTGCTCAATCAACCGCAACAAAGGCAGTTTTTAGGGTGGTTCGGGTGTGGAGTTATGCAGCAACCGCCACAACATCAACAACCACACAGTCATACACATAGGCAAACATTCACTCATACAACCACCCACACACGCACACATTCAACCTAACCGCTATTTGCAATTTGGCGCTTGGTGGAATGCAAAATTTTTGCGTTGCCAGAATGAAAATAAATGGCTTGCATTTTGTTCCCTTTTTTCATACAGCCAGCTGCAAAAGAGCGTATATCTGAGAATATCCTGAAAATAGTTACACACACAGCACACAGCTCTGGAATAATAATGGTCCCTTAATATAAATCAAACAAGCACACACACACATCACTTTCGGTCTGTATGAATCTCCTAAGGAAACTATTACAAATGCTCTTCTTAAAGAGCTGCTGCAAAGAGTGCAGGGCAAAAGAATTTAAATAGGATTTCTGCTGAAGTATATCGAGGCGTACAAAGCGTTTCTCACATATTGAAGTTTAAATATTCGATTCGCCATTGAATATCATATATATACCATAAATTATTTTTTTGCGAAATTATGTATGATAACATTTTATGATTATTTTCATGGCAACGAAAATTAGAATTCTGCCAATTTTATGTAATTTATAAAATTTATCGACAAGCATACAATGTTTACTAAATTTAAAGCTGAATAACTCTCCAGACTACAAAAAAAAAAATAAATAATAATAATAATAAAAATAAAATAAAATAAAATAAATAAATAAATAAAGTTATAATATTATTATTAAAAAATTACTCTTTTCAGATTATTTAAATTATTTATTTTTTTTTGATCATTAGATCAGATTAGAGCAGTAAATTTTAGTTAATTAAAGTTATAGTAGCTCGCAGAAGTTCATCAAAGAATGCTTGAATTGCATTTTAGTTTAATTAGTTTAAAATGATTTACTAACTTTTTGTACAACATTTAAGATAATTTGTATCACATTAACGCCGAACAAAAACTCGCAAAGGCTCATAATGATAGTGTAAAAATGATTTTAGTTTGAAATTATCCTGAGGCCTTGTTCCAATATTGTTGAGCTTGAATTATGTTCATTAAAGCATAAACACTGAAATTCGCAGTCACCGCAGGGCTGCGATAATTAATAATTTGGTTAGGCACTGTGGCAGGCAATGAAATTTTGATTGGATATGTTGCACGGACTGTCAAGTGTTATCGGTGGCAACCTGGTCTCCACCTGATGACAGACCGCAGCCCAAGTGGCCGCACAATACTCGACTCCAGTCACTGCCTATGGCAGCTGCTCCACACACATACATATGTATGTATATAAGTAGATGCCGGGGGTCGTCATCCAAACATTTAATGCACTTGCTCTGACAGTACTGTGATGGCTTAATTTGAAAAGCGTCTCAGCCCACAGCTCTGTGCATTCCATTTCGCATAGCGCCTTATCAGCCGGCAGCTGGGCGACAGCTTTAGTGATGACATTGCAACTTTAAGTCCGTCACCCCATCCCCGTGTGACAGTTTTTATAAACGTGGCTGCTCATGTGGTTGTGTGGTTGCCATGTGGTTGTGCTCTGGCATGCTGGCCTCTTAATGAGTCGGCCAGGTAGGCAGCAGCGACTTTATGGCAGCTGCGCACCTTTTGTTTGATTGTTGCCAAATGGCTTATATGGCTGCAGGACACAGAGCCATGGAACCATCATTATTTTTGGACCGCCAGGCCGTGCCGCACATTAAATAGTAAAGCGAAAATGCGAACTACGGCGATGCTGAAATAATTAAGAACTTTCCTGCTACTCTGTGTGAGAGAAGGAAAAGCTTTCATTCAATTACCCATGTGCGAGCCGAATTATCTAACTAAATGCACAACTCGAACCAGCAAGCAATTTATTTATTTCTCTCAGAATTTTCGTGATTATCTCGATGATTTTTGCGAGATTAAGGTAAAGTAGTTACCTGCCATTAGAAACTTTACCAGCCGAGAGCGTAAAATATGTTTTTCTAAACTTATTTGATAGATGCCGTGTCCGTGAACATGCTCTATAAAATATCGAGTTTTCAATATATAAGATTTTCATCAATTAGGGAAAGTGCGGAACTAAAGTTTCTTAAATTACATTAAAAGTTCCTCATTTTAAAACAAATTGCTTGCTATCAATTATCGGGCTTTGTTGAGTCTGTTCTTCTTAAATAATTTTCTAAGGAAATATTTTTGTTAAGGAAGCACTCTTCATATTTGCTTACAAATTTGTTTAGCTGCTGCCTGAAGACTGAAATAAGCAAACTGAGAAAAGTTTGACAAGAAGGAAATTCATACATAAATATTTGCATTTCGGGTGCTTAACGCTAGAATACTAGAAAATACTTATGCTCTATAACGAAATGTTATTTACGAAATAAAGCTTTTGTTTTTTGTTTAAATACACGGAAAAAATAAAATTAATTAAACAAGAAAATTGTACTTGAAAAATGAATAAAAATATATATTCATCAGTCGCGTCGAATAATGTTACACGATCTGATACTCAGTCAAGCAAGCAGCAATAAGTACGACAATAAAATGATCAAGACCAATAGATGAGTATAATAATATATAAGCCGCAAAACTCACTTTATGGTCTAAAGGCAGGCGTGGCAAACGAGTGGAACGAATGTAGCAGCCAGCTAGAGCAAATACAACAGTGGAGAAATACAGAAAAAATGTTTATCTATAGAAAAACTGGTAAAATAATATTTGCTTGAAACCCAATATTTGTTGATAGTATAGCTTTTATTTGGACAACATGTATTCATTGACATAGAGGCAGTGTTGTCAGCTGATAAGTACCAGAATAGGTTGGATTGCGGATGTAGTAGTAGCAAAACAGGCTAAAAAGATGGAAAAAATGCTGGAAAAGCGAACTAGATGAAAAATGGAAGAAAACATACGAAAAGTTGAAACTATATTTAACAAATTATTCGCAAAAATAAAAAAATTAAACATAATAAGTACTTCCTCTTGGTATTTCTTCTATAAAATTTCCTAGTAGTGTTTCCTCTAAGTGTTTCTTCTTAGTGTTTCTTCAAAGTGTTTCCTCTAAGTGTTTCTTTTAAGTGTTTCCTCTAACTATTTTCCCAAGTCTTTAGTGCTTAGCTAAACGATCACGATTTCCACGCAATGCACTTCACTTCATTTTACTGCACTGTACGACTGAGCCCCATCAGGCCTGGGCGACTGAAGTAATTCTGCAGCTGCCTTTTTATATAGAATGACTAACTCACTAACACTAACACCAAGTCACGCTCAAATGTTGAGCCCGAAGTCAGGTAGGGTTCGTTGCAGTCGACCTCTAAGTGGCCAATGGGAACACTCTCTGCAACTTCAAGCACTCTAGCTTCGTTTTACTCAAATATAAATACCAAATGAATACTGCTGCATATATATAGACAACTTAAATGATCTTCTGTAGTTCTTCGTCGCCAAGTGCTCTTATTAGGCAGGCAGGTAGAGAGACAGATTGAGAGACAGACATACCAACAAATAAACATATAGACAAACAAACACGCGTAGTTAAATTGGATAATCTCATGACACTGCTTAAGAGTGTTTATAATAAGGCTTAATGTTTTTAGCTTGTGTACATTAATATTTATAATTATTAAATGGCATAAACAGCAGCCTCTTTTTCTATAGTTCTTTTAAGGGTTAGGACTTCGAGCATAGTCCGACTATTTAATTTTCAATGTATTATCAATAGGCTAGATCTAGCTTGAAATAGGCTAAGCTGGCAACACTGCATAGAGGGACAAAGAGGAACAGCGAGGTTTGCCTTGTAGTTTAGGTTTATTTCAAATGAAGGATATATATTTCAAATGAGTTTAATTGGATAATGCCAATGGGTATAAATGGTATATATCTCTGCTGATAATGTCATATACTAATACTGGGTATCTTCTGGTTAAGTACATTC